GAGCTCTGGGCTATCTTCAGTCTACACACACACACACACACACACACACACACACACACACACACACACACACACACACACAAATCTAATTTCCGATTTTTTTTCCCCCTCAACTTGCAAAAAAAAAAGCAAATGAAAATCACATTCAACAAAACAAAGTTTGCGCTTGGGTTTGTTTCCTTCTGGGATTTGATTTATTACTCCTGCTGCCAAACAAGCACTGAAATCGTTTTTTAACCGATTTTTCACCATTTTAACTCGCAACTTTGACAGAACTAAAACAAATGTGTGGGTTTTTTTGACAGAAAATGGGGAAAATGTTTACAATCATCACATTCAGGGCATGGAAGGGAGTTTTGCCCGGCCAGCTTTGTCTGTGAAAATTTGGGATTGTAAACCACTGTAATGGCCAACATGTTCCTGTAGATGGTGACATTACATTGCTTTGAATTGAAGGTCAGCACCGCTTTTCAGTTGATAATAAAGATTAGGCGGTGAATCTCGGCTTTTCATGTTGATATGAGGGAGAAAAATCCCAACACAGACAAGTTTAGGCACATCACACTGCAACAAAATGTATGTGTGTGTTCAAAACACATTACTGTATGGACCGTCAAAGCCTTTTCCCTGTCTTGTTTTGGTTGTCTTGCAGTTTCAGGTGTCACAGAAGCAAAGTCTATGTTTCTTTCACAAACTTTCACTGATGTTCTACATGTTATTACTAAAGAACTGAAAAAAATGAGAAACAAACTTGGTGAAAGACTAAAGTGCCTGCTCTTTCTTTTTATCGGTGGATCTGTGCTTACATTGTCACGGAACACAATGTTTTGTGGGTCTAGAAGGAGGACTCGAAATGTTGTTGTCTCTTTTTATCCATCGGTACGATGCAGATAGATAATGTGTCACGGTCTGTGTTTTGATATGGGTCAAAATAAACAATTGTGCCCTCCAGGCAAAATTAAGTAACAGCTTCCTTTTGATCCAAAGGGAAGAAAATGTAACAAAACCCGCATCAACACAGGTTGATCTGATAAGATGCGACCGATGGAGAAAAGTGTCTGAACACGTTCCGTGGAATTTGATGACACTTTCCAATTAAACCCGATTTGACGACAAGTTGATTTATTCATCCGTCCGTGTTCGAGAACACTTATCCTCATCAAGGTCGCAGTCAGGTAAGCTGGAGTCTATCCCAGATGACTTTGGGGATTTTTGGTTGCCAGCCCATCACAGTGCACATGTTGACAAACAAGCATCAATGGCAGGAAAAAATATTTGACAACAAAGGCCTGGTTGCCACATGTCAAATCGGATGCACAATTTGTATACAGTGCTGCCTTTGTATAGAAGACTTTCCCGTGAGAAAGTGCTTGGCCGAAGTATTGTCTTGAGATACAAGCAAAAATTTAAGACACAAGTGCGGTTCAGACCCCCACCACCGGATGGCGACAACTATCCAGATTTCCATAGTCGCGTATCTCCTGCATCACTTCCAGTGCATTAGCTTGCCAAGCTAGCTTTACTCATTCAACCTTTAAACAGATTTAAAAATATTAAACGGATTAATAAATATTAAATTCATCAAAGTTCCGTCTTGCAAAGCAGAGTAACTTTTCTCATTGTTTTCAAAAACCCCGTCAACTCGCTGTTAGCTTAGCCGTTAGCACGGATTCACCCTGTTAACCCACCGACCATCGGTTTCTTTAGTTGGCATTTTGTGATTAAAGGACTAACAAATGTGGCTTAAAAAGTCATGAAAGAGGAGTGTTGCGGCAATTAAACCTGTTGGCTGGGTGTTTAGTGAACAAACAGCAGTAAACAACACAGTACAGGGCCCGCACCCACCCCCGGTCAACCAGCTGTACCCCCTTGGCAGACACAGCGTCTGTGCGAGCGTGCAAGAAGGCATGGCCCGCCCGGAGCGAAAAAAAAAACCCTCACTTTTCTACCACACAAGTGGGATTTAATGACAAGCGCACACCCTCTTAATGAATGATTGCGTCCTGTAAAGTGTCATTTGATGTTGAAAAACGTGTAATACGCGTTTAAAATGCACCTTAGAGAGCGAGGTAATATAGTGTATATTGTAACCTGTTTCAGGCTTGAAAGCCTCCGTACCTTGAAGCGCTAACCCAGGCTTGAACCCTTACCTAAATGCTTTATTTTATGGCTGTCGGTAATTTTCAGAAAAAAACCCCCATAAAACATGTCAAATTCTTATTTTTATGATATGAAGTCAATAATGAAATGTTTTATCAGCTATTGGGGATTCCAAGTCACTGTCGTGAGGATAAAATCGTTTTTATGAGCTCATCGGTCATCAGTTCATAACAACTTCCAGTCCCAGATTATAGTCTTGAGACATTTTCCTTTATGACATAGTTTGACAACTTGAATCGTTCTGATGAAGGCTGTAAAAATTATTCATGAAGTCAACAATCAAACCCAACATTGTAATTTGGAGCTAGTGAGTCAGCATTGGTAGATGACTTCACATTGCACAATTTTTTTTTTTTTTTTATTACAATCACGAGGATCAGCAGCAGAATGTTCCAACTGTTTGTTGTTGTTGACACTGGTCACACGCAAACCCGCCAGCAACTTCAGGAAGCTTCTTAAGACACTTCCGTTGTGAGCCCAACATTCCCAACTGGGTCCAAAACATTTTAATAAGCAAGCGCGCATGGTCCTGCTGATGCTAACAATCTAATTTGCTAATATTTCTTGAAAGCTACTCCAACGCTTCCAAATCACTATTGCTCGATTGAAACTCGTCCATAAAACAAGGAAAGCTTCTCCAAGAGTGAAGAGTCGTGCTGATGCTAACATGTTAAACAGCTAGCACCCCTGGAAGCTTCTACCACACCTACCTAGTGAGCCCAAAGATTCCAAGTGGATCTAAAAGTTCTTCGGACTATACCAGCTACCTAGAAATACAAAACGCTGTTCATACTTCTTTTGATGCTAATTGGCGAGCATCTTTTGGAAGACCCATGCAGTCTTCGAAAGTGAGCCCAACATTCCCTATTGCAGCTCAACACTCCCCACTACATCCAAAACATTCCAGATCAATCATGCTAGACCCAAAACAGTCAATGGAACAACACAAGATTATAAAATCGTGACCTGTGTTAATGATCCTGCTGCTGTTAATGGCCGTGACGGGTTTGCAGGACAAATCGAATGAAAATGTTTACTTTGAAGTGAGCACAGTGTTAATATAAAAAAAGACAACATTGTCAAAGGGGGGATGTACAGGGGACAATTACCTCAGTCATAGATGGAATAATCCATTCTAAAAATATTCACTCGTGACAGCCCAACAATCACGTATGAAGATGAAGGTGATGTTTGACTGCCCTGATATGCCAAAGCCGCGCGCTGATGTTCAGGAGCAAAAAAAATATATATATATCACAATAATCAGTGAAAACAAATATTTGAAGTGGGTATTATTTTCCAATTAAGAAAAAATTAGATCACCCTTTTGCATTCATGTGGACAGCTGACTGCATGCAATAACATGATGAGGCGCGGAGCAAACAGCATTTTTGGTTTGCTGCAGGTTGATAATTCACATTTGGGTTCACTTTCATAAATACAAAGAAGACGCAAATAGGCATTGACTATTGTCATTTACCAAGCTTCCATCCATGCACCTTTTTTATGAGCTCAAAATGTTTTTTTTTCTCATGCAGAAATTACATTTCGTGTTCACTGTAGAACTTCAGTGATTTCATAAATGCTGCATACTGTAGTTTCTTATATATATTGGGTCCAAAAAATGTCATGCAGTGTTATCCTCATGTAAGATGTCAAGAGTTTTCTGTCTCCCAGTGTTTTTCTTTTTCCACTGTGGGCGACCGTCCAAATCTGAGTATTTCAGCTTGCCGACTCCTGCCCTCGTTTGATCCCCCAAAAGTCCCATGGACCGAACTAGCCAAAATGCGCGTGCATGGTCTTCCCGATGCCAATATGCTAACAACAAAGTTGCACACAAGCTCACCTTTTTATGGGATTTTGTGATTGCTAACTTTTGCACAGAGAAATAGCAAAGAGCAATGGCAGTGCAAACTTGGCAGAAACAATCGGATTGCTCCAAGTTTGCGCCATATTGCGTGCGCACGCGCACGTCCTCCCTCCGCGTCCCGAAAGCTCGCAGCAACAAGTAGGCTAGCTAGCCGGGCGTGCTAACAGGCTAAAAACAACAGTAAGAAGACAACAACGACGGCGACGACTTGGCTTACCTTGGCGATGGCCTTTTTATACCTCATAACGGCCTGTTGGACGAGCGCGTACACGTGAATGTTGCCATCCCCGCACGGCACAACAACGCGCGTCCGTCCGAAGCACACAGTCACTTTCATGGTCTCCGTCCGCGCTCGCTCGATGCTCCCAAGCCCGGCGAGAGGAATCCCAAGAAGTCCACAAGCGGCATGAGGTGGAGGGCGACCACGGTGGGGTTGGAGGTGGATCTTTCCTCGGTTCGTTCGGTGGTGCTTCCGTTAAAGCGTCTTTTCGCGTCCCCCCGGGTTGCACGACATGCTTGCTTGCTGTCTGTCTTTCTGCCTTTTCTTTCTTTCTTTCGGACCACCTGTTTAGTGGAGGTCGCTCTCTCTATTCTCCTTTTTTCCTTCCCGCGCTCGCTCGCGACGCATCCCAGCGCGTGCCCGCCCGGCCGCTCCGTGATGCATTCATGTAAACTCGGGAAATCTTTTTCCTGAGGGAGATCTAAAAGGTGCTGGATTGGCGAACAAATAATGTATGTGATTTTTTATCAGGACAATTTTTGAAAAATGCACACAGGGAAAATAATGAAGAATAATGACTGAAATCAGACGTTAATTTTTACAGTTTAACGTCATTTCGAACTTCACCACTTTGATTAATGTTGCATAGTCGATATCAATCAATCAAATCTTTAGTTTTATTCCACCTTTTATACTTAAAAAGCAACACAAGGCACAGTAGTGCTACACTGTAAAAAATACATATGTTCGACATAAACACCCAAATGCGGTCATCATGTACCGGTGTGTCATGTGTCACAAAGTAAGGTGACCAGGAGCGCGGTATTATTGCTGTCACAAGTTTGCCCTCAGGATTAGAAATGTAGAACATTTCCATCCATCCATGGTAGCCAGTGACGAGTGTCCAAACTACACTGTGACATTTGAACCCCAATACTTGACGATATGGCGTCCGAAAACATATCCAAAAACACGCACAGCAAAGGCAAATTGAGAGGTGGAGATTTGGACGTCGCGAGTGATGCAAACGCTTACAGCTTTTAAATTCAAACAATAAAGAACATCACACGCCTGAGTCTGAACGTAACGTGATTTCGAAGCCATTGTCCCGACTCAAACATACAAAGAATGTTTAGATTTTCTTTACATTAATTTTACTCAAATTCCAATGAAAAGGAGCAGAGAGAAAAATGAAGAATACTGTATATATTGTCTGTCCCTTTTCACAGGAAAATAATTACGTTTCACTTCATGCTTTTTTATTCAAACAAATCCACTAAAGTCGTCTGAGTGTGATTTTAAGCGTGAATGTTTTGTCTATTGTGTGTCCTGCTATTGGCTGGCAACCAGTTCTGGGTCTATCCCGTTTCCTGCCCAAAGACAGCTGGGATAGACTCCAGCACGCCCGTGACCCTCGCAAGGATAAGGAGAAGAGAAAATGGATGGTTGGAAATCGTTTTCGGATTGTTGTGAAATGTGCACATTAAAGGCGTCAAGTATGCTTCCCTCCAATAAACGAGTTAGTAGCCCCCTCTGGAGATCACCAGTGGTAACAACAACCTCCTCTGGTTGTGAGGGCGTGTTGCTACTGCTACAGTAACGTGTATTATGGCGCAACAACTAAAATGGCATTTCTGGCTCATTGTCAGTGAATGTAAAATATTTATGTAAAATTACATAAGCGTGATTAATTATCTTAAAATTCTCAGCTAATTAGGGTTTGGGTTTTTAAGTATGGTTTCAGGCCAGAGTTAGGGTTTCAAGGGCTTTAAACATCAGAGTATGGCATCAAACCACGTGAAGAGTTTTAAAGTCTGTTTCAAGCCAAGGTTAATTTTACAAATTAGGGTTGGGAGCTGCAGTTATGGTTCCAATTTAGGGCTTGTACCAGGGTTTCAAACCAAGGGATATGTGCCAAATTGGGGTTTCATGACAGAGGAAGAGTTTGAAAGTAGGGTTTCAAACCAACTTTAGGGTTTCAAATTAAGGTTTGAAGCTAAGGTTATGTTTCCCAATTTAGTCAATGGACGCTACAGCTTCTTGTTTACTTTCAAACTCAGCTTGTAACAGACGTTTGCACATTTTGTGCATGATGTTTCTGATCCACTGGTGAAAGGACACTTTGAGTCTCTCCTCTTTCATCTCGAACTGCTTCAAACAGCAAAAGGCATATGCTGGAATATGTTTATGATTGCATGACTGTCCCTGTCTTATGTGTTGCATTTTACTGTTTGCTGTTCTGTAAATGACTTTGTTACAGTTGCAGCTGTTATGAAAGCACTATACAAATAAAGTTGTACAGTATTGTAATGTGTTTTACGAGTAAGGGTTTCAAGCCAGGGTTCCCAATTAAGAGTTCAAAAGTAAGTTTTCAAGACTGTGAGTGTGTCAAACCATGTTGAGGGTTCAAAGTAAGGTTTCAAGTCAACGTTAGGGTTTGAAAATGGGTATTGGAGCCACAGTTAAGGTTACAAGTTAGGGTTTCAAGTTAGGGTTTTAAGACAGGGTGAGCGTTTAAAAATAGAATTTCAAGTGTGACGGTTTCTAAGCAGGGTAAGGGAATGAAAGAGGCTTGTTGTGTCGGTAAAGTAATCGCCGGAAGCTGTTAACTTCTAAGTCCTGATTTTTGGCTTTGAAGAGCCAACCCGGAAGTAGTGGGGGCGACCCCTCTCGCTCCTTTCTGGTCAACAAGCACTCTTTGTCCGAAAAGCGTTTCTCTCGGTCGTCGTCATCCGCCTCGTCGTCGCTGACGTGGATCGACGCGAGCGTGGTCACACCTCGTCACCAGTGACGAGCACTGCGTCAAAGTTTGGGTAAGTCTCAACTCAATCCGTCGACCAATCAAACGATCACCCAATCACGAATTTTTACGTGAAAAGTCCACTCGAGGTGCAGCGGAAAAACCGTCGGAGATGAGTCAGCAGGAAGCACAAAGTATATGTCAAGTTAAAAATTGTGACGTCAATGCAGCCAGGACGGAAGTGGGCTCTTGAAAATAAAATACAAACGCCTAACATTCGCATCAGAATGCAAACATGGGTTTGGTGAGGCTTTTGATTTCAGGTTTCAAGACTGGGGTATGATTACAAGTCAAGGTTTGGCTTTTAAATACAATATGTATTTATTGACTATTGAGACTCCAGTTTTCTGTCTTTCATGTGACCAAAAGTGTTTCTTACTCATCACTTCCAACATTTGCTTGTGTTAGATATTTGTCACTTCCTGTATGAAAGTTATCGGTCATCATTTTTCACATGCACACTTCACTTTTTATTCATCACTTAACCATCTACAAGTTGCCTATCCATGTCAGGGCACATCAAGACAAACAATGGACTTGCAGCCTGTGTTGGAGGTCATCTAAGTGGACCGCTTCAATACCAGGAGGGGGCCACGATTTCTCATCAGTGCTACTGGGAGGCCACATAGAATCTCATCAGTGCTACTGGGAGGCCACATAGAATCAAGCACTCCCAAACCAGAGGGATAGATAACAAAAATGCCATTTTAAATACAGACAAATTACATGCCCTTATTATCTTCCATTTTCAAAATACATTTCTCAATACCTTCATAAACGGAAGCTCCACTCTCCTTACCCAGTAACAACGGCTTTGAAGCAAGCAACAAAATGAAAAAGCCTGCGCCCGAAAATCCCAGATTGTAACTCAGACCATTATAATTGCTAGACATGCGTGCTAACCACTTGGACACTGTGCTGCAATCGCAACTCAACACGTTTCCATTTTTGACTCCAAAGAGCAACCACAAATTGAATCTATTCGTTTTGTTTGAAACCCTGTCCAAATTGTGTTTTAGGGTTTTTTTTCTCCTGTTCAGAGGTGAGAGACGATGGACGACAGCGCCAATGACTCGACGGCAGATGAGGAGGAGCACCTGGATGGAATGTCTCCTTCACGAGTAAACGCCTTACCACTTTTTGGACTTTCGACGTAATATGGCGTGAATTTCGACCTCGATTTTGTGGTGTTGTCCTGAGTACTGGACGCTTTCTGTGGGTGGGACGGGACTTCTTCACTTGGGCAGGCGGCACCAACCACACAGCAACACTGACCATACTCTTAAGTCTCCAGAGATAAGGCTTCAAGTCTGGGTTAAGATCGAAAACAAAGGTGAGGGTTTCAAGCCAGGGATTTCAAACCAATGTTAGGGTTTCAAGACTCGGTTAGATTGCCAAACAAAGGTTGGGCTTTCAAATTGGGGTTTCAAAGAAGGGTGTCATGCCTGGGGAACGGTTTTAAACCATAGTTAGGGTTTCAAACAAGGGGTATGGTTTCAAGCAAGGGACAGGGATTCAAGCCAAGGCTAGGGTTACAAGCCTATGTTAGGGTTTCCAGCAGAGGTAGGGTTTCAAACCATTGTTAAGGTTTGAAGTCAAGCATTCAAACCAGACTTATGCGCCACAAAACACAGCAACACTGCACAAGTCTCCAGAGAAAAGGGCTCAAGGCTGGCTTAAGGTTGCAAACAAAGGTTAGGGTTTCAAACAGTGTTAATTTAGCTGACTAAAAATTTTCATCATAAATAATATTTTTTTCAGATAAAAAAACAAAACAAAATTAAAAATAGAAGTCATTCATTGATACAGGAACGATAACTCAATCGATTGACAATTTTGTGAGCAAATAGTTTCAAGGTGGGGTTAGGGTTTCAAATTCAAGGTTGTGAAACAAAGTTTAGGGTTTCAAAAAAAAAGGTTCAAGCTTCAAGTTAGGGTTTCAAATTGTACATTAACTGGGGTTTTCAAAAAAAGGGTGAGGGTATAAAATTAGGGTTTCAAGGCTTTGAGGGGAGAGGTAAGGTTTCAAAGTCGGCTAACAAGCCATGGTTAGGGCTCCGGAGTAAAGTTTCAAGATAAGGTTAGGATTTCCAAAAAGGGTATCACGTCTGAATTATGGTTTCATGCTAGGTTGTCACGTCAGTCAGTTTTCAGAGAAGCAAGAACTTTGAACTTTGAATAACTTTGAAGACAAGGATGTCAAACAAAGGTTGTGTTTGGGGTTAGGTTTTCGTGTGAGATTAGGATTTTAAATTAGGGGTTCAAGACGTAGTCATTCCAGTCTTGTTGCCATGTCGTCACATTCAGGTGTTGGACAAACGGGAAGACCACGAGTCTGACGGAGACCCGCCCACAGGACGACCGACCGCCTCCATGGACGAGTATGTGAGAGAGGAGGGGGACGACTCGACTTCATTGACAAGCTGCCACTTGAGATCGGGACAATACGGTAAGATACCGAGCGGAACGGCACAACTCTCACCCGCAACATACGCCATAGAAATCCTCTCACACATATTACTAAGACGCTGTCATTCATTACTGTACATTTTGCTGCTCTCACACCGCGCAGGTTTTTTTTTCCTGCTCTCACACACTATCCAAAAAAGCTTAACAGTTGTACACTAGTAGTACTTGCTCACACTCGCTACTAAAACGCTCTCTCACTCCAGGTAAAATACTTTCACACATATACAACTGAAATGCTCACACGCACTTCCAATGAGCTCTCATGCTACTGTTCAAATGCTCGCACACCAAGATAAAACACTTTCACACACTAGAAAAATGTTCTCATGCCAATACTAAGTTTTCACTCCAGAACGCATGCTACTAAAATACTCTTACAGCACCACTAGTCTCACACATGCTACTTAATATTTTTTTTTCATTTACATGAATTCCTAAAACACTCACAAGCTCAGTGTTGAAATATTCACACTGACGCTGCTAAAACGCTCTCACACACACACACACACACACACACACACACACACACACACACACACACACACACACACACACACACACACACACACTGCTAAAACGTTCTCTTGAGCACACAACTGAAATGCTCTCATACAACTAGTCAAATGCTTTCACACACACTACAGGATTTTATTCTTTTTTCGTACACAGATGCGACTGAAAAACTCTCATGCTCACTACTCCAACTTTTTTTTTGCTCACATCCACGGCTGACACACTCTCTCACGCAGACACAATCCTGATTATCATCCTTATAGCTAATAATGTTGAGGTTTCATTTCAACAGCCGCCATCTCGCAGAGCGCCGCCGCCGCCTCACCAGGCGGCGCCCACCAGTTCTACATCCATGCAGGACAGATGATCATACAAGGTATGGTTTCCAGTCAGGGTTTCAAGGCTGGGTTTCTGGTTTCAATCAAAGGTGGTTTGGCTTGAAAGTGAAGTTTCCAAGCCAGAGTTAATGTTTCAAGTCGAGAAACTGCTCTCCTAAGTGGTGCCACGCGTTTGTGTATGGGTTGCTTGGTCTCCCCAATGTAAAGGTGAAGGCTCTCCTTACTGGACTGCAAAGCTTTACCAATTTTGCAGAGTTTGCTTCTCAAGATTTCATATGAGACCTGAACCCGATTTTTTGTCTGAGGCTGAGGAGAAAATCCAAAACGCAAACTCAGCAATGTTGTAGTTTTGAAAAACCTAAATTCACTGTGCAATGTCTGATTTGAAAATATTTTTATGAGTTGAAAGTTTGTGAAAACTTGCACAGCTTCTTCAGACCACTGGCCCCACCCTCTCTTGAGAAGCAACCAATCAGAGTGTCAGATTTAGGATCTCGGAACAATGCTTAGGATTTAATAGTGGCTAAGTTTTTAAGATTTTGGTCTCAAGTCCCGGTTCATTTTGTCAATATTTCTAATTTCAAGTCAAGTTCAAGGCTCAAGGTTCAAGTCAGGGATTACGGTTTCAAGACTGCATCACAAATTTAAATTAGGATTTAAAATCTGGGATTTTCCGCAGGGCTAATCATTAGAATTAGGGGTTTCAGGGTGTATGGATTCAAGCCTGAGTCAAAGATTCAAGGGTTTCAAGGCAATTGGATTTCAAATTAGGGTTTCAAGCCAGGGTTAGTTTCAAACAAATTGTGGTTTTCAAGCCTGAATCAAAGTTTCAAGTTTTTGGCTTTCAAACCAAAATTGGGGCTTCAAATTGATATCCAGGGTTTAGGTTTCCAGTTCGTGGTTGGATCAGTGTGAGCAATTCTGGGTCAAAGATTCAAGTTAGGGTTTCAAATAAGTCTTTCAAGCTAAAATTAGGTCTTCAAATTACTGGTTTTACCAGGGGCTAAGGTTGAGAATGAGGGGTTAAAGCCAGGGTTAGCGTTTCAAAGTAGGGTTTCAAGCTTGGGTCAAAATTTCAAGATAGGGTTTCAAGACAAAATTTGATTTTTGGTTAGCGCAAAGTTAGGATTCTGTTTACATTTCAAATTAAGCTTTAAAACAAAGGTTGTTAGATGATGTTTTCAAGACAGAGTGAGGGTTCAATTTCGGGTTTGCAAGAAATTAAATTCGGCTGAACTGCACTACATTAACTGAAAAAAAGCAAAAGAGAAAAAGGCCTTTGAGAGTTCAAAGTTCGGTAAAACTCAGCCGTCTTCCCCAACTTGACACAAGCCATCTTCTTTGGCCGCTCGCCCCGCCTCCCGCTCCAGAAGCAACCAATCAGAACGGCCTCTTGTTTGTCGCTCCTCTCCAGTTGCGTCACTGCCTCTAAAAATAATTCCCCTCCCCCTTGACATTTCGTTACTCTGGAGGGGGGGAGGTGCTCCACCCCAGCGCGTCTTTTACTGACTTCAGCGGCCGTCGGTGACGTCACCGTGACGCCAATGCCGGTAATTGTAATCCGGCTGCAAAGTTGACGAGCGGCCATAGACGGCGTAAAACGGCCAAGGAAGCGAGAGCGGAGCGCCAATACAATTTTACCCGGCCAGCGAAGTAACGAAGGTAGTCTAGCACTTTGGTTTTTTTACCCCTCTTTTTGTTCGGTTCTGGCTCACTGGGGAACAACAATGGCAGTCACCGGGGATGAGACTGAGTCAGGTACGGTAAACTTTTTGATGTATCTATAATTTTATCTATTTTAACTATTCTTGGGTTTTTTTTTTGTTTTGTTTTCTTCCTCTTAGTTATTTTTTTGTGTGTGTCTTTATCGTCTCGTTTTCGTCGTCTTCCGGTTCCAACTCGCGCATGCGCAAAAGATCGACCTAGCAACAGCAGGATATCGTTGGGCCAATTTTGATTCGACTAAATTCATTTGAAACGACTGTCACCAAGTTAATGGGGTGTATGCGTGCACAGACACACAAACTAACTTAGCTCGTCATGTTTTGTTGAGTGACAAAAAATGTGTATGGCCATCTGGTAAATAGCAACACGTTGTTGACAGGCAGATTGGGTGGGGTGGGGGGGCGGTGAACAAATGTGCTCCTTTGACGTCATCGTTGCTTCCTGGAACAGAAGTAGGGGAGGGGGCGGGAGGGGGGGGGGAGACGCACGCAGTGACGTCCCTCTTTATCGCTGTGTGCCTTGTGGGTCAAGATGACTCATCGTTCCAAAGTTGACATTTTAGAGATTTAGATCTAGGGATGAATGAGCAAAATGTCTTTCTTGTGAGTTTTTAATGTACTAAAATTTTACTTTAACACAAGTAGAGGAACAACATCAACACAAATGGACAAGGCTTTGCTTCCATTAACTAAAAAAAAACTTAGATCTAGTTTACAACGATAAAAGCCACCCAGCTATTTTCTGTACTGCCAATATGTTGTTATACTTCATTTATTTGTTAAATGTTCCAGATGGCCATTTGGTACTTAATTATTCGACAGAAACCACATAATTAACATTTTAATTTGACTGATAGGTGTACTATATTTTCCACTACAGTGAATCCCCACTATTGGTGAGGAACAGGGCGTGAGCCCTGCTGCAAATAAAGATAATATGTGCAGAGTTGTTTATGGAAGGTACTTAAAACAGAAACTGGTATTCCACTAGGATTGATTTATATAGCTGTAGTCTGTTAAACATACAAGGAAAAATCATGAAGCAGTAACGAAGCAGTAATGTAACGCCGGCGTTCGCAATTTGATTAATTTCAGATTTTTTTTTTTTTTAACAAGTCTTGGTTGGTCCATGTGTACGTATTAGTTTTCTACAAACTGCTGACCACACCGACATGTTGAAATGGCTTGTTCTCTTGAACGTTGCAATGTTAATGTTGAACAAACATGCCACTGTTTTTGTCTCCTGAAAAGTGACGATTATGACGCACGAGTGCTGCGCCCGATGGCAGCGATAAACAACAGTAGTCAAATTATTCAGCACAAACAACCTTCACATGAGGCTCATCTACGGTATATTGGCGTTAACTAGCACAAACTAATGTGACATCACACACACGGGCAAACAAATATGCTAGCTTGCACTACGCGAATGGTATAAGTCATTAAATGTATCTTTTGGCATCTAGAATAATGCAGAATCATTTTTGTTATTGAATAGTTCACTGTAACAACAAAGTATAACAAACGCACCATTCGTAGGTACATCAGGAGAAAAGTCAAAACACACTACTGTATCACTTTGAAACACACAACAAAAAAAAAAACTACATTTCCAAAACCAGCAAGATTCCACAAGATGGCACCAAAGTGAAACCTTAATTTGACCGAGAATAAACGAGATTGTCACTGAATAACATAATGATTAGAGAATGGGAGACATACCATCCCAACACAGTTGAAGTTACAAATCTTCTGAGCTAGCTTTAGCTAATCAGCAGAGATTGCTGAAAACAGATTGTGCAGGCGATAATGTGTCATATGTCATCCACCACAGCCGCCACCGGAGACATACCCGCCTGCCAGTTGCGCTCACCCACCTCGGGCCTGGCCCACAGCATCGTGTTGGCGGCAGCAGCGCCGGGCGCCACGCACAGCCCGGTGTCGCACCACGCCGAGGAAGTCACCCGCAAGAGGGAAGTCCGGCTTATGAAGAACAGGTAGACTTTGACTGCCGACCAATTAAGGGGGTCCAGGATTGTGTGTGTTTCAATGATTGTATTTTGGCAGGGAGGCTGCGCGCGAATGCCGGCGGAAAAAGAAGGAGTACGTCAAGTGTCTGGAAAACCGTGTGGCTGTGTTGGAGAACCAAAACAAGACGCTGATTGAAGAACTAAAGGCACTCAAGGACATTTACTGCCACAAGGGGGAGTAAGAGCACCCAGAATCTGCTCCAGTGTTTCACCGCCTTTGCCATAACCCGAAAAACTGTTGTGACTGCGTCCGCTCGCTCTGGCCTCTGCCTCCCTCCCTCGTGTCCCGGGAACGGCCTTCAGCTCTGGACTCTGAGTTGTGCTGTGAAGGATTTTAAAGAATAACGCCTCCCGGGAACGGCACCCTGTACGCACCATTTGTGGCATTTTCGCTTTAGTTTCTGCCTATTTTTGGGAAGTCTGCATCGCAATCACTGACTTGCATGACTTCATTTCCAACCATTTTAAATCAGCAGTAAGGAAACAAATGGGAATTATTTTTTGTGTCTTGGGACTCCCCCTATTTTAATTAAATCTAATAGCCATCAAAGATGTTCTTATCTGATAGGACATGATAAAAAGCTAATGATGTTCATCCACTTGCTAAATGCTAACTGTTAATTGTCATCAACAAAGACCAGAGGTTTGCTATGTGAACAGTAATCCTATACTTGGAAACTCCAGATGCTACGTTAAAAGTGAAAATTCTCACACAAGTCGACACGAGTGCTTGGCTTACACCTACACATGCTAAACACAATATTTCCATATAGTGTTCATGTGCAAGCACGTCACACCAATTTTCAATGTGAGCACTGATGCTAATACGCCCTCGTTGGTCTCTGGGTGGCCATGGTAAGCTAGTATTGCTAAATGCTAACAAAGCTTGTTTACGGTTGTAACAAAAGTGTTATTTGTTCCAAGAACCCACAACCACACTATTTGCTACAATAACATTAGCACTGATGCTTATAAACAGACCAGTAGGCAATCCAGGGGTTCCCTTGGCAACAGCAAAGCTAATTTTCCATTTCGGCGTAGCATCCTGATGATTTTCAAGCTGTTCCTTTTTGGGTTCAGTTGGGACATATGTGACTTGAATTGATACAGATCGGTATTATTTTTTTCAAAATGAGTTTAGCTGACTACGGCTGCTCATCAATCAAGCTAGTATCGTCACATCAGTGTCTGATTATGATGGTCTTTGAGGACAGGCAATACACAACAATAGCATTAGCAGTGACGCTGAAGCTAACAGAACAGTATGTGTGTCCTGGCTGATCCACCAAAATGAATATAAACCATTAATGTGTTTGAACAGTCATTCTATTCTCCCATGTTACATAAGCTGGCGTAGCATCCTCACGATTTTTTGAAGTTATATTGTTACATATCGTTGCTTTAATTAAGACGGAGGATAACACCAATTATTTGTCTCTCAAAGCACAACCAATGAAAACCAGTCAATACCTTTTCACTTATTACGGTTATGAATAAAATGATGATTTTGAAAGTTAATTTGACACTTTTTAAACAGCACGAGAGCCCAATTGTCGTTTTTGTACATTTTTTCATTTTCATCGTGGTGTAAATAAAGTTGTTTTGTGGCAAGAAAATGGCACTATCTTTGTGTGTCTGCGCGTGTGGGTGTGCTCGCGCGTTTATTAGAGTCCACAGATGATGCCCTTGAGTTGTTTCCACGGCAGCCAGGCTTCGAACGGATGACGCAGGAAATAAACATTTTGCTCAGCCAAATGTGCGATACGCAGCACGCTCAATGAAGCTTACAGCCTCCTCTTAAATGTTTTCGACAAAAACACTTGCCAACGTGCACTCAAGTATACTTAATTCGTTTAGTATTCAAAGAATTTTTAAAAGGCTGAAATTAGCATGTAAAATGTATTTTTGGTCACCCTTTTGTAAACATTGTCTTTGCTGTTTTGCCTTTAAAAGATGGCATCTTTTATGTTATTGCCTCAAAAATTCTGCTGGCAGCTTGAATGATGGAATTTTACACATACACACAGACAGACGCACAGAAAGCTGGAAAATGTCTAAGGATGTTTAAACCTATGTTTGAAGCTAATTTAAAAAAAAATTAAACTTTTTTTCTAGCTCATTAAGAGATTTTTTTTTGCGCAGTACGGATTTTACAATGCGTTTTCATTTCTAGCTATGACGTTTCAGAAAAAAAAATTCACCTGCTGCTGAACCTAAAAATTAAATCCATTATTGTATTCCATATATTAATTATAATGGTTATTATTTCTGTTATTTTGAAAAACTGATGAACAAAAGGACAAAATGAGGGCAATTCCATACAAGCGCAAAAAAATTCAATCCGAAAAGGTTACTTGCATCTCTGATTAAAACATTTAGTAAGAACGTGCTGGCCAATTTTATTGATATTTTGTCAGCTTTGAGTTGTGATGTGTATTGTATCCTATTAAGTGACTCTTCATGCATTCTCGCATTTTTACGATGAGACAATTACAAAAATATGGCATGCAACTAGACCAAATAAAAAGACTGCAAAACTACTGCTGCAGTATTACTTTCACTACTATATATTTTTTTAATATGCCAAACGGAAATACAATTAAAATATATGCCTAGTTACATTCATCCATCCATTTTTTAATCTGCGTTCTCCCCGCAAGGGTCGCGGGCGTGCTGGAGCCTATCCCAGCTGTCTTCGGGCAGTGGATGTAAAAAAATGGAATTTATCAGCTTCGTACATAATGCGCTGTCATAAATTGGCCAAAAGATGTCGCCATTTTTCTTGCACGTGCTGGTGCAATTTGAAAAGCAACAGTTTACCACACTTGAAGTTGCCACCCTAATGGAAAAAAAATGCCTTCTGTTTTGCTCTCTTAAAAGATGGGGGGGGGGGGGGGTAAAGGGAAATTGAAAAGATCGCCGCCACCCAGGCATGGTGCTTGAAAGGCAGTGTGCTCTGACCACCCCAAAAGTGCACTCCAGACTAAAAGAGGTTAACATTCAACCGGAACCGAGAACCGACCAAGAAGAAAACACAGCCTGTATCACATCTAGTGACAGTGAGAATATGAAAGGCCGGCTCACCCACGAGGTAATATACAGTAGGGAAATGCAAAGCCAAAGATGCAGCGATCTCCAGGAGGCGCCACAAACGTTAAAAAAAAAAAAAGAAACATAAAATAGCAAATGTGTGTAAATCCCTAAAACTGAGGTTAAGTACTTACTGTTTGTATGAAGTGCTTAATGTACAGCATTGTAGGAAACTAATGTGTGATTTCACGTCACTTTGTAATTTCGTGTTATCCAGGCAAACATTTTGCGTTCGAAAGATCTCATGGCACACCACCAAACCAAACTGGGACCAAATGTATGAATATTGAAATAATGATGACCTTGCCTGAATGTATTCACCAATTTATTTACTCAGTGAGGAATGTGTGGCCGTTTCATTGAAAATAAAACGGAGATACTAGCCAGATTCACGACTAATTCTGTTGTATGAATGGCAACTAAGAGGTTTGTTGTGATGCACACTCTATACCAGTAGGTGGTAGTAGTGTACCTAAACGTATAAATTATTAGTCGAAGAAGTCAAACTGCCCTTCCTTGCGCTTTCGTTCTGTGCGAAACCAAACGCGCTCTGAGAAACAATTCTTACCGAATTCGTTCTGAACAGAATGAAGCTTCGACTCAGTACGTCCATCAATACTTTGTAGGATGAAAACGTCCCTCATTAAGTCTTCGTGTCTGGGTAGACATTGCCACATTTGCGAAGCTAGCTTAGCACAACTCTCTATCCGCTAACAAAGCGAAATTCCAGACTTGTTAGCCCGCTACACATCCCTCCAAAAAACTGAGACCGAGTGTGAACTTGTTGGCATTATCGTGTGTGCAACATGTGTGGAAGATCGACAGCAGATTACGCCGAAGACCTTCGTGGGACCAAAGAAGACAACAAATGTCAACGACCAGACGCTGTTTTCAAGCAACCTACAGTTGGGGTACTAAAAGCCGGTGTGTACACACGACAAAAAAACAAAATCATCACTCAAAGGAGTTGCTGACAAAGTAACTTAAATATCTTTGCATTTCTATTATTTCAAAAATAATATATTCGGTATGGTATATGATACTGATTTGAATAGTCTGCAAACTACATATTGTTTGTTGAAAAGTGGTGCAGTGACATACAGATTTCCCCCGAACATGATGAATAATTGTGATTACAATATTAATCCAAATAATTGTAATTTATCGTTTTTGGCCATAATTGCGCCACGCTATGTGTATGTGACTTTTGACTTAATTACAGTTTGCAGAAACATCTTAGTCTCTCTTCTTATGTTCAAGTATTACACTACAGAGCTATTTTTCTTCAAAATGTGTAACATTTTAAATTTAGCGGGCTGAGACAGCTGAGTGATATTTCACTTCATTTTCAGTTGGATTGTAGGAACAATAATACACAACTGGTGCTGCAATTTCCGGTTATTTTTATAATCGATTACTCTGTCAATTATTTTGTCGATAAATCAGTGAATAAGATTAAAAAAAAAACAGTCTTCTTGTGTCCTGCAGACGTCAGTGACAAATATCTTCATTGTGAGCAACACGAGCCAGAGGCCTCTCACATTCAAGAGGAGGAAGAAGAGGAGCCAGAGCCCGCCCTTGTTAAAGAGGAAGATGAACCAGAGACCCCCCACATTAAAGACGAGGACGAAGAGCGGCCCCACTTTAAAGAGGAAGAGGAGCCAGAGACAATCTTTGTTAAAGAGGAAGATGAACCACAGGGCCCCCATGTTAAAGAGGAAGAGGAGCTCGATATCACCAAATGGCCTTTGAGCTTTGCTCCTTTGAAGTGTGAAGATGAAGACGAAGAAGGTGAGTGTGAGGAGGACAGAGGGGCGGCGCCTCCAAAGAACCGCTCAACAAAAGGTGATGCAGACCAACGTGGACCAACACAAGCACATCGTGACGACACATCACCACATTTCCATGATGATGATGATGATGATAATGATGATGCTGATGATGATGATGGAGAGTCTGAAAGTGGCACGTCATGTCACACCGACAACAAATGCTGGCAATGTGCTCAATGCGGGAAAACGTTTTGTTCCAAGGGGAATTTAAATGTTCACATGAGAAAACACTCTGGGGACAAACCTTTCACTTGCACGGTTTGTGGTCAAAGCTTCACTGAGAGAGGCACTTTGACAGTACACACGAGAACGCACACCGGGGAGAAACCTTTTGCCTGCTCGTTTTGCGGTGAAAGCTTCTCTGTAAAGGCAAGTTTAACCCGACACACAAGAACGCACACTGGAGAGAAGCCATTTGTGTGCTCAGTGTGTGGTAAAAGCTTCATCGAAAAGGGGACTTTGATCAAACACACGAGGACGCACACAGGAGAGAAAAGCTTCGTCTGCTCAGTTTGTGGGAAATGTTTCTCAGAGAAAGGCACTTTGAGAAAACACACAAGGATACACACTGGAGAGAAAGCGTTTGCCTGCTTAGTTTGTGGTCAAAGCTTCACTGTCAAGACAAGTTTGACAAGGCATACAAAAACGCACACTGGAGAGAAACCTTTTACCTGCTCAATTTGTGGCAAAAGCTTTGCCGCAAAGTCGTGTTTGGCAAGGCACACCAGAATACACACAGGAGAGAAACCCTTTGTCTGCTCAGTTTGTGGGAAAAGCTTTGCTCAAAAACCAAATTTAACGGTACACAAGAGAATCCACACACGAGACAAAGCTTTTGCCTGCTTAGTTTGGGGTCAAAGCTTTGCAAAAAAGGCAGCGTTAACAAGACACAAAAGAAGACACGCCAGGGGGGAAAAATATGACTTGTCGAGCGTCTGTTGAAGGCAGGCGAGCATGCTGCTGAGAAGGGCTGTGGCCAAAGAAGTGGCGGGGGAAAAAAACGGAAGAAACTGAGCTTATGTTGGGGACCCATTCTGAACTCCATAATCACATTGTGGAGTTCTTCGCATAAGGGAATATGGAGTGGGCTCAAATGAAAAATAAAAAAATCAGTTTTGATACCAAGTCCAGTTATTTATTTTCTACAAGTTCGTAAAAGAAGGAAACTCATTTTCATGCAGAGAAATTTTTGGTTTGACTTTATCGAAACAGGTACCGGTATATGTGTATACTCTAATTGCCAGTAGAAACTATTTATTTTATAATTTCAGTCTGTACTTTTTTTTTTTTTTTTACTTTGAAAGACTGAATTGAGTCCGCACTTCTATCTACTTTTATTTTTTTTTTTTTAAACAAGTGTCTGTACTTCTACTCAAGTACAAAGCATGAGTACTTTTGCCACCTCAGATTGTCAGAAACGTCTGATAGATTATCCTCGTCGATGATCTGTATGTTGTCACGTTGTTGTTGACCAGGAATATCACACTGTGGATCCGTATGTCATTTTCCTCACGGGTTGAATAAAGTATCATTCTGTCCATCTCTCTGGGATTGGATGTTTTTATTACTTTACCTCAGAGGTCACCAGCATGGAGCTAAAAGATTTATAGAAATCAAGTGTTTCCTTCCTAATTATTGTGAGAAATTGACATGATCTGGATCTTCATAGAAATCATTTACTTTGCATCATGAATAGAAACATAACACTGGTTTGGTACACTTTTTTTCAATATACAGGTATATATTTTTAAATCAGAGAGGCAAGCAAACTTTTCTAAGTGGATTTTTTTTTTCACTTTGTGCTCCCAAATCTGATCTTGTTTTTTTCCCCTCTAGGACATTAGTTCATTAAAAAAAAATGTATATATATATATATATATATATATATATATATATGTAATATTTATTATATCGTGCTTGTTTTGGGGTTTCGGTTTCAGCTGTGAAAACTACATTTGCTTTTACGCAAACTCGTAGAGCCTTCTCCTGCCTGTTTTAGATCCCTACTCCAACACACATGATTCAAATGATCAGTATCGACTTTTCAAACAACCGACCTCCCGCGATCAACCCGCTACCGCACGTGCACGCATAGAGACACACCCATGCCATGATAAGCAACGGCCCTAACGGCCCAGAACATGACCGAAAGATAAATATCAAGTCAATATAAGAGCTTGTGAGTTTGTAAAAAGGAATCGGTGCCTACCTTAGTCGAGACCTGACGGGGAGGCATGGGACGCACTTTGGCAGCGTCTTCGATGCAACACGTCACTATCGTCGCTCATGTGTTTTAATTTTTTCTCCTGGCACTTCAGATTCCCATTCTTTGCCAGTGCCATCGGCGAATTGCAGATGAAACAAATTTTGAATGAGGACATTTTAAAACAACAAAGGTATTGAGCAACAGCTGTAATCGCAAACTGTAATTGCAGACTGCTAACAACTTCCGGTGATGCAGGTCACGGCCGCCGTAGGTTAAAGGTGACCTCCTTTGTTATATTATTTTATTTTTTAAATACTTTTTTTGTGAAAGTGAAACTGTGAGTATGCTTAGGGTGCAATGTGCACTAACACAATAATATAGAACATTAATAACACGCAGACAGACGCACATATTTTATTTTTCATCCATTTCCCCGAGACACCCGCGATAGACTTGGCACCAGTTCGCGGGCTACCGGTGGATCGCGATCGACTGGTTGGGCACCCCCAATGATTAAGGGGTGAACAATCGTGTTTTTACTGTAATTAAGATGAATCACCGCGTTCTTGGCGATATCAGTGACTGGGACGAAACGAGTCTGGAAACCTAAGCAGCCAATCATATCGCAGCAGGGCGTGTCCTGTCCTGCCCCACTTCCGCCACACAGCTACTTTCGTACACAGGTTTTCTTGACGTTATTCAACGCCATCCGCTTAATATTCCCTTGCGATTTAGTACTGAACGGACTGCAGCCTCCATACAAGACGTCCGTCACAACTGAAGGACTACGATGTCGCTTACTGAGTCTTTGTGTGCCGATAAACGCGTCTTGGTGCGCGTTCATGTTCTCGTCCATGTTAGCTTAGCTTAGTTTGGCTTGCTAGCCATTCACAAAGAAAAGCACGCCGTTCAACCAGAAATCGACTGCGAATTTATTGGGACTATGACGTGAAAATGTCTGCAAGACCAACACTTAAGTACGAGGAGGAACTTTGTGGAATAAAAGAAGAGAATGTGCAACATCTTCAACAGCTGGATGATCTTTACAAGCGGTCTCGAATTGTGCTACACACACCAGGTTTGCATACGATCGCTTGTTTAATAAAGAACGACTTTCAAGTGTTTAAAAAAATGCACACTTGTATTTCGATGGATTACTGTCTGGTAATGATGGCCAGAAGAAGTTGTTATGGGGAAATGCGTTCACGACTTGTGCCAACATTCTTATTGAGTTAAGTCATTATTTTTTAAAATGACCTTTTACATGCTGGTTTGCTTAACATTTGAGAAAATGCGTGCCTTATGAAGACCATCAAACCGGAGTAACCGGAGAAAACCCACACAGGTAGGGGGATCCGGAGCCGGAATTGAACCCTACACCTCTGCACGATGAGGCAGACGTGAACCAGTCGCCCACTGCGCCACCCTATCTATCTATATCATAACCAAATAATCAACGAAAAAAAATCTGGAAAAAAAATACTTTCGGTCTCTCTTTCTCTCTCAGAGAGATAAGAGGGGGAGAGAGAGACTTAAAATAACAATTTGTCAGATTTTTTTCTTTGATTCTTTGGTTATAAAGATGTAACATGTCAGTCAAGGTACATCATTTCAAAATTATTGAACTATAAATAGGAGATTAATGAACAGAAAGTGAAGATATTTAAGGCAGCTACATAGCATGTTTCATTCACAAGGTAACTATCTACCTTACACAATAAAAAGTGCAATATTTAAAAGCCCAAAAAAAAACACACACAAAAGAATCAAAGTACTTAATGTGAACCATATATACAGGTTTCAAAAGCCGTCCCACCGTTACTGTGTGCGTGTGAGTGCCCACACTCACACAATGCCGCGCAAGAGCTCGTTTGATTTTTACCATCATGGTTCCCAGAAGGCTGCTCGACGATGTGGTAACTCGCACTGGCATCATCGAGCCCGTGGCTTCTCTGGGCTGGCCACGAATAAGTTGATTCATCGCCTTCTCCGGGGCTCCTCCCACTTCCGACAAAGAAGGATAGATCAAAGATCAAATCGCTCCATGTGTGGGGTGAGTCTCCAGATTTTTTGCAATGGTCCAGTCCGAATCAGGTTAGGACGCCTCAATTGGTGTGCGGCGGGCCCAAGTCCGGGTACTACTGTACAAACAATAAAACGCAACTTAGTCTTGGCAAGAGATGCGACTTTACCAAACCAAATCTGCTTGTCTTTTTATGTCCCTCAGACGTGAGAGAAAACTATCTTCATCCTGAGCAACAGGAGCCAGAATCCTCTCACATTAAAAAGGAGGATGAGGATGAGCACCATTGCATTAAAAAGGAGGAACCAGAGGCCCCAAACATGAAAGAGGAGGAGGAGAATGATATCACCAACTTGCCATTGACCTTTGCCCCCTTGAAGAGTGAAGATGAAGACAAGGGTGAGAGTGAGGAGGACAAAGGTGTAGAGCGTCCACGCGGGAGCTCAAGTCAACACATAACAGAAGGTGATGCAGGTCACTGTGGAGCATCACAAGCACTAAGTGTTGACTTTACATTACACTCTTCTGAAACGGATGATGATGATGAATATGAATATGAGCACTGTAAAGATGATAAGGCATGCAAAAACAACAAAAAATGCTCCAAATGTTCCCAGTGTGGCAAAACATTTTCTTCAAAGTGGTCTTTAAAAGTGCTCGCAGGAAAACACACTGAAGGCAAACCTTTTGCCTGCTTAGTTTGTGGTAAAAGTTTTTCTCAAAAGTCACGATTAGAAACGCACACAAGAACGCACACTGGAGAAAAACCTTTTGCCTGCACGGTTTGCGGTAAAAGCTTCTCTCAAAAAGAAAATTTAAGCCAACACTCAAGAACACACACTGGAGAGAAACCGTTCGCATGCTCACTTTGTGACAAACGGTTCTCCCAAAAGGTATCTTTACGAACCCACACAAGCACACACACCGGAGAGAAACATTTTGCCTGCCCAGTTTGTGGTAAAAGCTTCTCTCAAAAGTCAAGATTAGTGACACACACAAGAACACACACTGGGGAGAAAGGTTTTGCCTGCTCAGTTTGTGGTAAAAGCTTCTCTCAAAAGAATCATTTAATAGGACACACAAGAACACACACTGGAGAGAAACCTTTTGCCTGCTCACTTTGCGTCAAAAGCTTCTCTGACAAATCCAATTTAATGAAACACAAAAGAACACACACCGGAGAAAAACCTTTTGCTTGCTCAGATTGTGGCAAAAGCTTCTCTGACAAGTCAAGTTTAACAAGACACACAAGAACACATGCTGGTGAGATAACATTCACTTGCAACGTGTGAGCTAAAAGATTCTCTAATAGACCAGATGTTGAGAGACACGAGTGTGCTGATGAGAAGAGCGGTGATCGTTGAAGCTTTAAGAAGAAGCTGACTCTTGGTGGTAAGACGTAAAAATATGATGAAGATGCTAAGATGCTGTTGTGTCAAAAGCTTCTCTGATCACCCGCTGGTGAGATAAAATTCACTTGCAACGTGTGAGCTAAAAGATTCTCCAATAGACCAGATGTTGAGAAACACGAGTGTGCTGATGAGAAGAGCGGTGACCGTTGAAGCTTTAAGAAGAAACTGACTCTTGGTGGTAAGACGTAAAAGTATGAATATGAATTGGAATAAAATATGATGAAGATGTTAAGATGCTGTTGTGTCAAAAGCTTCTCTGATCACCCCAGTTTGAAGAAAAGCAGCCATTGATGAAGCTTTACAAACAATTGAAGAAACTGACTGAGTTAAGTTAAGCTGTAAAAGTGAAAATGTGATTAAAAAATATATATTTATCTTCTGCATTGTCCTTTCTCACACCAACTGCCAAAATACCCTTCAATAATATTAGCACCCCCGTTGACACCGTTTTGATGTATTATTATGTGGGAATGTAATTTTTTGTATTTTTGTTTATTTGTTGAATTTATGTAAGTGTCATGTTTTATTTTAATTTGGACTCCAGGAAGAGTAGTCTTCACCTTGGTCAAGACTATTGGGAATCCTGACAAACGTATAACTTGAAACATGCGCTATTTCCTTACTTTTTGCCGCACCCCTCATACATCTTCAAAGTGTTTAAAAAAAAGAATTTTTGCATTTGCAAACCTCCTCTAAAAGCTAATTAAAACTGGAGGAAACAAATAAGTCAAAACAAAATTTAAAAAGAACTACGACGAAAACCCCCAAACTATGCAAACCCTGGCATTCACACATTAGCACACAGCCTTTTCGCAGAATTTGAAGGGCAACCTTTGGAAATTGTGCAACTCACAGTTTCTCGGGAGCTTTTGAAGCCTTTACGGTGACACGTTTTTGCCTTGAGCAAGAAGTGTGTTTCAGTGGGCCAAGACTATTTGATCTGTCACTCAGGATTGCCTTTCCCATGAATGCCTCAATTCAAAATCAGCAACTTGATGTTATTCTATTTATTTCTACAATTTCTAGGACCTTAAGCATTTGGCTGTTTCGGCATGGGAAACGCTGACCCATTTAACACAGAGGCAGCATTAAAAAAATCAAAAGAAAAAAAAATTCTCCGACCTGCGGATGGAAATTCCACAGCATTCTGCGGTCTTGACGATTCCAACCAATGACACTCACAAGATGGCGGAGACCCTGACGTATCTTTTGGCCAGTCGGCGTGGCTTCTTTAAATATCTTGGAGTTTCCTTCGCGACTTGGCGGCGGAAGGAGCCAGGAACTTGGGACGTCAGCAGGCTGGAGATTCACCCGGTGACTCGGCCCAACTCGGTGTCGACGCCACATACTGTGAGGATTCGCCATCAGAAAGAGTGAACAGCTTTCACATTTACAATCATGGCTAGATGAACAGAAAGGACAGATAGATCGTCATTTGGTTGGTAGTTGGTAATTTATTCATCCTGTGAGGGAAATGAAAACGTGTATTGTATTCACCGTATATGACAAAATCAAAATGAATTATTTTTAGGCACCTTAACGCAACGCACAATATATCGGAGATAACAGACGGTCACAAGTAGCAAAACTACTCCCACTCTGGACTAGATTAGAACTAGAAATATTTGTGGAAAAGAAGACTCGTCATAAAATACTCAACACGTGTTTATAAGTATCGAAGTAAATGTCAGTTCCATCCAATACCCATTTGAATAACTTCATACAACAACTACAACATTTTACTGGGGCATCAACTGCATAGCCCACTCTTGAAAAATATTCCTGTAGTGGCTGAGGAATCTCAAGAACGAATCGGTGCTTCTCAATACAGCTGCAATTAAATTTCATTTCTATATTTGTGACAAATCACAAGACCATTTGTCTCAGGGTCCTTTACACATGGAGCAGGTCCAAGGCCACACTTAGCAAAAGAGTAACGCTAACCCATTGAACACACTCGGACGAATTCTGATGTGAACGTGCATTTTACTACCTTTGCCAACAGTTGCTATTTTCGCCCCTCAATGGCGATAAGGGCTAATGAGCGTGTATTAGTTCAATCAGGTTTATAAATTATCAGCTATTGGCGAGAAATTTCTTCTTTTTTTATGTGAAAGAATGCTGCTCTTGAGACTTTTTGAGCGAGAGCACTAAATGCTAAATTCTGGTCAATGCATTCGTTTGCTCAGGTTTCCTGGATAGGTAGAGATGTGTGTCATCAGCATAGCAGTGGAAATTGACGAGTTTTTGAATAATACTGCACAAGGAAAGCATATAGACTAAATAGTACTTGTCAAAGTACGGACCCCTGCGGGACACCGTATCTGAATTTTACACGCAAATTTTTGTTCTCAACATTTACAAACTGTAGGTGATCTGACAGGTATGATTTCAAGCAATTTAGGGTAGGAAGATGGGAGTTAGTGCTCGTCTTGAATTTTGTAACAGTAACATCTGATTAACACCTCGTGGAGATGATTTTATCTGTGACAGAGTAATTGACTGGCTAGAAGCTAAAGGGTGATTACAAAATGGTCAGTTTCTTCAGTTTATGCTGCAGCTTCATTGGGGCAGTGTTGTCTCTCTGACCATCACAATCCCGGCACTTAATATCACTTGGAAAATAAAAACCCCACCAGACCTTAATTGTTCCTCACCAATGTGTTCTGGTATGTTTGTTTAAACCTGACTTTGTAGAGAAGCTGTTGCCACAAACTGAGCACGGGAATGGTTTCTCTCCAGTGTGTGTTCTTGTGTGCGCTGTCAGACGTGATTTTACGGTGAAGCTTTTGCCACATGCTAAGCATGGGAAAAGTTTCTCTCCGGTGTGTGTTCTTGTGTGCAGAATTAAACTGGCCTTTTGAGAGTAGCATTGGCCACAAACGGAGCAGGCGAAAAGCTTCTCTCCACTGTGTGTTCTTGAGTGCATTGTTAAACTGGACTTTTGAGAATAGCTTTTACCACATAGCGAGCAGGCAAAAGGTTTTTCTCCGGTGTGTTTTCGAGTGTGTATCGTTAGACTTGACTTGTCAGAGAAACCTTTGCCGCATTCCGAGCAGGTAAAACGTTTCTGTCCGCCGTGTCTTCTTGTATGCATTGTTAAACTAGACCTTTGGGTAAATCTTTGCCCACAAACTAAGCAGGCAAAAGGTTTGTCCCCAGTGTGTGTTCTTGTGTGTTTTATCAAAGTACTTTTGTCTATGAATCTTTTACCACAAAGTGAGCACAAGAATGGTTTTTCTCCAGTGTGTGTTCTTGTGTGACTTGTTAAATGTGCCTTCACAGGGAACCTTTTGCCACATACCGAGCAGGCAAAAAGTTTCTCTCCGGTATGCGTTCTTGTGTGCGTTGTTAAACTTGACCTTTGAGAGAATCTTTGCCCACAAACAGCGCAGGCAAAAGCTTTCTCTTCAGTGTGTGTTCTTGTGTGTTTCACCAAAGTACTCTTTTCTAAAAATCTTTTACCGCACAAAGTGCAACCGAATGGTTTCTCCCCAGTATGCGTTCTCGTGTGTACTTTTAAATGCCACTTTGACGAAAACGTTTTCCCACACGAAGAACATTTGCAGTATTTGTTCTCAGTGTCACATGCCATATCACCTTTTGAGTGTTCATCATCACCATCCTCTTCCTCCTCATCATCCACATCAGGAAAGTGTGACATGTTGTTACTTTCTGATAGCGGAGCTAGTTCACCTAATTGTGACGCTCCACAGCGGTCTTCATCACCTTCTGTTGTCACGCGTTGACTTGAACTGCTGCTTGAAGGCTCCACCCTCCCGTTGCCCCCACTCTCACCCTCGTCGTCATCTTCATTCTTTGAGAGAACAAGGGTCAATGGTGACTTGCTGACATCATCCAGGTGAGGGTGCTTTTCTTCTTCCTCTTTGATGTGGGGGTAATATTCTTCCTCTTGCTCCTCCATTTTAACGTGGATGGGCCTATCTTCCTCTTTGATGTATGAGTCCTCCTCCTCCTCTTCTTCTTTGATGTGAAGGGACTCTGGTTCTTGTTGCTCAGGATGAAGATCACTGACGTCTGCGGGAAAGAAAAAGAAAAGATGTCAAATCTCTTGCTGTGACTGATGTCTGTACAAGCACAACCTCAGGTTGTGAACTTAATCAGTTCTGTGATCCTATTCCTCACCTGAAACATTCTGAAACAGAGGTAACGCTTACATTTGAAATGAATGAAAATGGAATGATTCTGTTACAACCCCAAAACTAAGTTGAAGGGATTTTTTTCCCATCAGTGCATGTTTGAGAATATATGTAGGACAGTACAAAATGAATGAAAATACGCCAATTTGAAGAAATAAAATCATCTAAACATGGTGACTGTCAGCTTCTCACTAACTTTCACTAACCAGGGGAAAAGGAAGAAGAATCGTCATTTTCCATAATAACAAAGGGAAATTCTCATTCTGGTGTTTTTTTTCTTTTGTATGTTTCAGGGAAAGTTGCAAAAAAAAATAATTAAAGCGGGACATCAAGTTGTCATTTTAAAGACAAATTTCTCAGCTAGCCATACAGCTGCACGTTTAGTTACATCATATTTATGGTTCTCTCTCTCTCTCTCTCTCAAACCATCACCTTCAAGCACTTTCAGATTCTGTGTCAGTCTAATAAAGTCTTTAAATAGAGTGAGGCACTTTGTGGGTTGTGGTGTTGCCGGTTTGTGTTGTGAATTTCTTGATAAAAATTTGGCATAGCAGCTCTGCGTTCATCTGGCTTGAATTCTAAATCTCCACACAGCATCGCAAGGTACAACATTGATTTATGCCTCCCATTCTTCATTCTGCTACCCGGTGGGAACTGACTGGCATAAAAAACTCACGGTAAACCACCCACCAAAAATATTGAAAACAGTGTGCATAATGAAATCATGATATTGTCTCAATTTAGTCACAAATGGACTGTGTGGAATCTGGGTTACTCTGTGTGAAATCTGGGCTGGGATGGATTTTAAAAATAATGATGTGATAACAAGAGTAGTAATTCATCACAATGCTGTGAGTATACACTACATGTAACTGATTTTTTTTTAAGAGTCAAGGCGTACCGAAACGAAAGCAGTGATCTTAATCGATTACGATTCTATTAAAATATAACCAAAGGAATATTTATACCAATTTTGTAGTGAGTGTTACAAGTGTTACAAACCTGCCATGAGTATCATAACACGAGGCTGTTTACAAACGGCGTTCAAAAGTCTTGTTGCAAGTTTTCCTCCGTGAGTTCGGCTGTCGGCTCCGCAGTTTCACACAATAACTCCAACAATATTTGGCGACATTGGCGATGTATCGCTAACAAAGGCGACCCTTTGTTAGCGGCTAGCGAGCTAAGCTAAATTAACCTAAGCTAACGAGGCCGAGAAGCTTCAATGCGCACTGAGACGAGTGTATCAGGGCACAAAGATTTAATAAGTGATGTTTTAGTCCAGTTAAATAGTGTTGGATATGGGTTCACTCCTTTCAGTACTAATTCGGAAAGAATATTTTGGTGGTGTGCATATGGCTATGTGCCCGGGCTAGATTATGAATGCCAATTCAAGACATGCCCCGCTGCAATTTGATTGGCTGTAGAATCGTTGTTGGATACGTTCTCAGAGTTTCCTTCCGCAATGCAGCAGCCAATCATATCGCAGCAGCGGTGCACTGCCAAGAAACACGTGACATTCATAACAACGCTCGTCAACATTTGTCATTGCGGAACCAGAACCACACGCGCTACGCCAGATGATTCTTCCCGATTTAAAAGTGAACGGACCGAAGCCTTGACAATTAAATCACGTGTGATACCACTGTACTTTAAAGGACTAAAATATATGTTTTCAGTCTTTGCGTCCGGTTAAATTCGCCTCCCTATGCGCTGATTCTTCTCGTCCTACCTTAGCTTACACATTCATAAACATTCATATTTTGTTCAGAATCATTTACACTTTTACAGCTTACCACAAAGATTCATTTCCTTCAGTGATTTATTTATTTTTTGGGAAGCACCAAAGATCCCTGCTATTCTCACCACCACACTTAGGTCTCTTAACATACGGCTTACTCGAAAAACTTTTCGCACACCCAATACAACTGAATGTTTTTATTCCTCAGCGTGTGTTTTTGTGTGTTTTATTGAACTTGATTTTTGAGAGAAACGTTTGCCACACTCAGAGCAGGCAAAAGGTTTTTCACCAGTGTGTACTTCGGGGTGCTTTATGAAGCTTCTTATTCGTGAAGCGTTTGTCACAATCTGAGCACGAAAAAGGTTGATCCCCACTGTGTGTTCTTGTGTGTCTCGTTAAACTTCCCTTTTTAGAGAAGCGTTTGCCACAAACTATGCAGGCAAAAGGTTTTTCTCCAGTGTGTGTTCTCGTGTGGTTTAGTAACACTGAGTTCTGAGTGAATCTTTGACCACAAATTGAGCAGGAAAAAGGTTTCTCTCCACTGTGCGTGAATGTGTGGAGTCTTAAATTTTGCCGAAGCGAGAAGCTTTTGCCACAGTCTGAGCAGGAAAAAGGTTTTTCTCCGGTGTGTGTTCTTGTGTGTTTTGTTAAATTTTGCATATGTGAGAAACTTTTGCCACAGTCTGTGCAGGTAAAAGGTTTTTCTCCACTATGCGTTTTTGTGTGTATGCTTAAATTTTGCTTCATGGAAAAGTTTTTGCCACAAACTGAGCAGGCAAAAGGTTTTTTCCCCAGTGTGGGTTCTTGTGTGCGTTTTTAAAGACCACTTTGAACTAAATATTTTACAACACCGAGTACATTCCCATTGTTTGTTGTCAGTGTGACATGTCCGATCAACTTTGGCGTATTCATCATCGACATCATCACCAGAGTCAGGAGATTGCGACCTTAAGTCATCACTTGGTGCTTGCAATGGTCCGTTGTGGTTGCCGTCACCTTCTGTTATGTGGGAACTTGAGATGCTACTTGGAGGCTCCACCTCTGTGTCCTCCTCACTCTCACCCATGTCGTCATCTTCACTCTTCAAAGGGGCAAATGTCAATGACAAGTTGGTGATATCATTCTCCTCCTCCTCCTCCTCTTTGATGTGAGTGGACGGTGGCTCCTGTTGCTCAGGATGAAGATATTTTTCACTGACGTCTGCGGGTCACAAGATGACAAACGCACATTTGGTTTGGTCAAGTCAAATGTCAGGCACTGACAGTGGTACGTTTTGACTTGTACAAAATGAATTCTTGCACTTGTTTTCTTGTTCAGCAGTTTTGGGTCATTTTTGAATATTTTATTTTATTTATTTTTTTGCAGGAGAGCCCTTTGCACTGGAAAAAAAATACGTGGTTGTTTTGTTGTTTGGTTCAAACCCCTTGTTATTGGGTTAGGATAGTCGATCTTTCTTTGCTCATGACACATATTTTGTCCATATCTAATATGTCATTTTTGTCATACATTTGTATTAGAAGTCTGTGGTCCTATGTGGCTCCCGGGCAGCACTGATGAGAAATTGAACAAGTAGAATGTTACGACTGACCTCGATGAATATAAATCGTTTTTCACAGATTGGGAAGAAGATGTGTCTTTGAGTATTGTTATGTTCACCCGTGTGGATGTGTTTCAACCACGGTTGTGTGTGAATATTGATTATTTGAAGGTATATCAATCCCAGAGGTCAATGCTAATGCGATAGCTGCAGCCCCAATAAATGCAAGAAGCAAATACAAAAGAAAAACAGACAAAATATGAAGAAGGATATGAATCATTAGCCACAACAAATATAATTTTGCGTGATCAACAACAAACAGCTTAGACTCCAGTCGCCATCAGGTGACAGACTCGTCTCCAGTCTAGCCAGATCGGCCCCAACGTACCAAAAACATTAAGAGATACTGGCACGACTTGCTTATCCATTTCCTGTTTTTCATATAATTTATCTTCATCTACAATATTTATGTTGTTCTTTTCACATTTTCACACAGTGTCATGTCGGCCGGTTGAGCAACAAGTGATTTTATTGAGGATTGTGCAAAAGGGCTGCCGTTTCACAAGCACACGTTCTCCTTTCCCATGATGTACAATTATGCTTTTTCGTTGTGTTTTAAACGCTTACAAATGTTGGTACAGGAAAAGACAATTGACATCTGACCTCATTTACATTGATGCGTTTACAGTTTAGCACAGAGTCGGTGCCTTCAGGTTTTTAATACCCTTTCATGCACCCTGTAACCCGATAACAAGATAAGCTGTCCACTGTAGTAACCGCTGTGCCTGAAGGGGTTAAAGCGTCAAGGATTACTGCTACTCTGACCAGCACATTTGTGTCTCTTCACACACAGCTTATAAGAGAATCTTTTACTGCACACACTGCAACTGAATGGTTTTTCTCCAGTGTGTGTTCTTGTGTGTGTTGTTAAACTCGACTTTTCAGAGAAGCTCTGGCCACAAATTGAACAGGCGAAAGGTTTCTCTCCAGTGTGTGTTTTTGTGTGTCTGCTTAAATTTGATTTTTGGGAGAAGCTTTTGCCACAAACTGAGCATGCAAAGGGTTTTTCCCCAGCATGCGTTCTTGTGTGTTTTGTCAAATCTCCATTCTGAAGGAAGCTTTTGCCACAATCTAAGCAGGAAAATGGTTTCTCTCCAGTGTGCTTTCTTGTGTGGACTGTCAAATTGTTTATTTGAGAGAATCTTTGGCCACAAATTGAGCAGGAAAAGGGTTTTTCGCCACTGTGTGTCCTTGTGTGTTTCATTAAATTTGATTTTTGAGAAAAGCTTTTGCCACAGTCTGAGCAGACAAATGGTTTGTCTCCAGCATGAGTTCTTGCGTGGCTTTTTAAATTGGACTTTTCATAGAAACATTTGCCACAAACTGTGCAAGCGAAAGGTTTCTCTCCACTGTGTGTTGTTGCATGGCTTACTAAACTTGACTTTTGAAAAAACCTTTGGCCACAAATAGAGCAGGCAAAAGCTTTTTCTCCAGTGTGTGTTAATGTGTGCATTCTTAAATTTTGCTTCAGTGAGAAGCTTTTGCCACAGTCTGAGCAAGAAAAAGGTTTCTCTCCAGTGTGCGTTCTTGCGTGGCTTCTTAAAAGTCTCTTTTCAAAGAAACGTTTGCCACAAACTGTGCAGGAAAAAGGTTTCTCTCCAGTGTGTATTCTTGTGTGGCTTCTTAAATATCTCTTTTGAGAGAAGCATTTGCCACAAACCGCACAGGAAAAAGGCTTTTTTCCACAGTGTGTTCTTGTGTGAACTTTCATATTCCCCTTAGAACTAAATGTTTTCCCACACAGAGAACATTTCCAGCATTTGTTGTCAGTGTGCTGCGCCATATCATCATCACCATCATCAGTGTCAGGAGAGTGTGACATTACGATGTCACTATCAGATAGTGGCGCTAGTTCATCTAGTTGTGATGGTCCACTGTGGTCTGCATCACCTTCTCTTGATATGTGTCCACTCGAGCTGCTGCTTGGAGGCTCCGCCCTTCCGTCCTCCTCACTTGTACCCTTGTTGTCATCTTCACTTTTCAAAGGCACGAAGGTCAATGATGAGTTGCTGAAATCCTCCTGCTCCTTCTTGATGTGAGTGAACTCTGCCCCCTGCTGCTCAGGATGAAGATACTTTTCATTGACCTCTGCAGGACCCAAGAAGACAAACATTGTATTATAATGTTAGAAAGCAGTTAATTGTCAAACAGGTGAGAGTAAGAAATGTTCAAACCTGCTGTGTGCGGCACATTTCGTGGCTGCTTGCAAACATCACCAAGCAATTGAAAATGTTGCTCGCTTTTTACTTTTATTCCGCAAACGTCCTCCTCGTACTTTGGTGTCAGTCTTGCACACATTTTCACACGAGAATCCCCGAAAATTCGCACATGAGCTCGGCTTTGACGATGTTTCCTGTGCTTCTCTTTGTTAGTGGCTCGCGAGCTAAGCTAAGCTAAGAATCAATGCGCACTGAGGCCATGATATCCGGACACAAATGACGTCGCAATGTCTCAAAGTCGTTTTGGACGGCCTGTGTGGAGGACGCAGTACGTTTAAGATAAAAAAAAAGAAGAAAGAAAAGATGAATCTGAGCGTTTGTGGTGGAAAGAAAACCGTGTACGGAAGTAGATGCGCGGCGGAAGTCCGACAGGCCACGCCCCGCTGCGATATGATTGGCTGGTGGATTTTTTGCGGAAGTTTCCGAGCTTGTATGGAGCACTGCCTTCAATCACCGACAGATGTCGCAATTTCGGCTGAAAATTGACCCACGCGATAGTGCATTTTTATTTAAAAACACGATTTTACCGCACTGTTATGATACACTACCGAGTATTACTGAGACTTCGGTAAACATATCTTGTTTCATTTCACAATGAAGCCTAGCGGCTCAACGTCCATCCCCAGTGGGGCTTAAATGGCGCACGTGCAAATGGGCTGTGAGGCTGGGGCGTCTGGAGGAGTCCAGGATGGGCAGCACGACCTCATGCTGCGTCCCCGCCACCCCGAAAGTCCACTCCAGACTGGAAGAGGACCGCGCCGAACCGGAACTGAACCTGCCGCAGGAGGAGAGGTTTCAAAACAACCTGCAACACATCAGCGACATCGAGAACATGGACGGTAACGTGAACTCAGCACTTCTCAATGAGCTCAAGAAGGCGAAAGAAACAAAGTTGACTGAATATCTCTATTCAGTCAATACATGGGGAATGTCGAGTGGATATTGTTGATCAAGAGTATACCTTGATCGACAATATCCACTCGACATTCCCCATGTATTACCTGTACCGGTATACAACACACATCATGGAAGCTCTTTCGAGACCATAGTTGGTAATTTAAAATGTGACTACAAAAATATATGTCAGTAAAAACTTACTCCAACATCTGACATTGTAGCTGGGCTTTATCGAAAGAACCTCTGTCGGATCGCCAAGAGGGGCAAACCCAGGATCAGGCACTTGGGTTACTCGGGTTCGACAAGGACGACATGTGATTGCTCTCATTTTGACAAAGTTTCATGTGTGTTTTTTGTCTTCTGTGAAGACAAAAAAAAAAAAAAGAAACAAGCAGAAGGGCCCGAGCTAGAACACAATCGTTGCTTTCGGAGTAGGCAGGCAAGCAGGCAGGCAGGGTGTTGTGTTGTTCATGGATTATTCACCAGCGTCTCCTCTTTCGTCCTCTTTCAAGCTTGCTGGAAAAAAAGGTGTGCAGTCATTCAAGCAAATCCATCCTTACACATTAGAACTGCATTCAAAATAGATTTCAAACCCCATGATCGAGGGTGTTAATCCTTCTTCAAAGAACGTCCCAGTGAATAAAACTGGGAGAGAAACCGTAACAGATGTCAGGTTCCCCCTAGATCGGGATTAGATCGAGATTCACTCTTGTTTGATGATCTACTTTGTAATGCAATCCTGTGTCTCCAGAATTGGACTTGATGTTGAGTCCGGCAGATCATCCACAGAGCTGCACGATGTTCCTCACCAAATCCATGAACGATGGTAAAGTCATTTGCTTTCAAAAATTTCATGTACATTTGACTAATTACACAATGTAATACAATGTAATATACTGCAATGTAACATTTCATAATGTAACATACCAGAGACATGCTGTATTATACCTTAATGTACTGCAGTGTAATGTAACATAGCATGACCGGTGATATAATGTGCTGTAACATTTCGTTATGCAACGCACCACAATGTAAGGTTTCACTACACAACGTAACATATTGTACCTCATCGTAACATACTGCAATGTAACCAAACGTAATGTACCATGTGCGACGTTACTTCCAACCCTAGCATGGGAAGCTAATTTTGAAAGCTATCACTGAAGAAACCTCCAAAGCTCACATTCGCGTGAATCATGAAACTAAAGTTGGAGCTAATGTTTGACAGGTCACGTTGGCATTCCTAAGCTTTAATATCGGATGTAAGATGGGAAGCTAACTTCAGAAGCTAACAGGAGACGTTAACTTCAAAAGCTATCATTGAAAGCTAGGTTTGTGAGCGCACGTTCAAGCTAACATTGGAAGCTAATGTTAGATAACAGTGGAGGAAAGAGATATATATATATATATATCCCCCCCACAGTCCTCAAGCTCAAATGACGCAGTGCTATCAACTGTTTTTTTTCTTGTGTGTGTTTTGCAGTGCGAGAAAGACAAAAGATCCACTTCATCCGCTACGTGAGTTAGCGCTCTCATCTGTCAGTCACTTTTTTCCGGCCCTCTAATGACAGTCCCTGTACGTGCGTGCATGTTAGCGCGGCCCGACCAGCAGGTGGAAGTACAGCTCCTGCTCCACAATCTTTCTTGATGAGAACACAGTAAGCAGGCCTCACCTCAAATACACCATCAAATGGTAAACTCATCACAAAGCTGAACATTTTCAAGTCGGAATGGAGCAGAATAATATGCTCAAGCAATATTCTTGTTTTTTTAATTCACAGTGTAGCACTGGCAATTTACTACCACATAAAAAACAGGTGAGAGGTTGAATGTATGTCTTGGATGTCACGGATTGATTGATTGATTGAACGTCTCCCTGCAGGGATGACAACGAAACGCCGCTTCTGGACATTTTTGATGAGAGGCTTCACCCACTCTCGGTGAGAAGTCCACCTCTTGTTTTGTTTTTTTGTTTTGTTTTCTTGCATTCAGCTGCAATTCTTTTGGGCCGCAGAGATCACACCAGGTACCTGCCGATTGTAACCATCGGGACCCAGAACCGAGGCAGGTTTATCGCTTTATCCGCACACTCTTCTGCGCCGCACAGCTCAGGTCCGAGTGTGCCATTGTCATGCTGGTGAGGACACTAAGCGACTATTGCACCTTTGAACTGTTCACATTTGGATTTGTTTTACCATAACCAAAGTACAATGAATGTTCCACAACCGTGATTAAAATATCACATTCTCGCAAAAGTCATTGTTTTCTAAATGCACTAAGAATGTCTCGAAGCACATCAACAAACAACAATGTTCCCTTTCATAAGACAACGTATCATTTCGTAACACACCACACCACTGTGTAACGTACCACATAGTAACATATCGTAACGCACAGCAAATCTTTCGTAAAGCAACGTAGCGTAGCGCAAACCGCCGCATTGCAACGGGATGTCATGCAATGTAACGTAACGCAATGCAACATTCCGTAACGGAACACTACGATTCGTAACGCAATCGACTGAAATGCAACATTGCGTCATGCAGTGTCGCGATATGTAACATTTCGTAACACAAAGGAATGCACGGCAGTGGAACGTAACACATCTTTTTATGCGGTGTACCGTAATGAAATGCAGCTCCTCAAAACACAACATATCGCAACGCAACACGCCGTAATTTACTACAAAACTAAGTGCCAGACCACATTGGAGTACCATGTATACTAACAAGTATCGTCACACATTGTCCCGCTATTTAAGGTTCTGTATAATATACCACAACTAACGCATCGAAATGTAACCAAATGTACCGTATTGTACCAAATCGCATCAAAAAGTCCTGTACCATGTATACACATGTCCTGTCTCACCTGACAATATGTCCCAACCTTTACACAACGTCAGTACAAATTCTGGCAAATGAAGTTGAGCGTTTTGCACGACAGGTGTACCTGGAGAGACTTCTGACGTACGCAGAGGTCTCCATGAGTCCTGCGACGTGGAGACGAATGGTGCTGGGTGCCGCCCTGCTGGCATCCAAAGTGTGGGACGACCACGCTGTGTGGAACGTGGACTACTGTCACATCCTCAAAGACATGACTGTGGTCGACATGTACGTCTTCGGAAGCTGTGTCGCGAATGGGTTCAGGATGAATTCCGCTGCTGCTAGCTTGTACCTTGTATACTGACTATACGATGTCTCAAAATGCATCGCCGTATCAAAGTACAGTTGTCATCATTGATGGTCACTGGAAAGAAATGTGTTTCTTCTTGTTTTCCAACTACAAATGACAGCAAGTAATAATATTTCAATTTGACACAATCTTTTTTGGGAGACTTTGTTGTGAATTATGATGCTCACCGTATAAAAATTCCTGTGATGCGATGTCCTACAGGAACCGTCTGGAACGACACTTCCTGGAACTTGTGCAGTTCAACATCAACGTGCCTTCAAGTGTTTACGTCAAGTATTACTTTGACCTACGCTCGCTCTCCGAGGCCAACGACCTCAGCATCCCGCTGGAGGCCCTCAGCCACCACAAAGCCCAAAAGCTGGAGGTACATCCTTTGCACCAACTGTTGCCTGTGATCATCTATGTACAAAATGTGACAACCCAATAATAAGACATTAATAACACAACAACGCCAATGACTTACTAATAACATGCCTACAAGACAACTTGAACACGAAAAGGTAATTTTGAAACTAGCATTTGGAGTTAATGTCAGAAGCTAAAATGCCGTCTTCACAATCTATAGATTTCCTTACATGCAGTCTAGCTCCAAAGGGAATGCAAGTCATCCCGCCATCCTTGGTTCACATTCTGTCGAGGTCGAGCCCGGTTTCTCCCACATACTCCCGGATGAGCTTTGGGAGTCCTGCATCCTGCAAACTCGGTCATGGCGGCCTTGTTGTTCTGTGTGTTGTGTGATTAATGACAGCATTGATGAGCATCCAACAGTCTGACTACAATGAGTGGATGAAAATGATCCGATATGTTCCTTTCGTAACTGTGTGCACCTTTAAACTGTATTCTTGAATAGATTTAAAGAGGAGCTGGATCCCGTCGTTCCTATTTGTGACACGCTATTATGTGTGTCTGTGAAGTTTTCAAGTCAAGGAAATTGATTTTGAAGGACAAGGAAAACGAGAAGAACCTTTTATGTCTTCAGGCTATTTCCAGACTGAGTGACGTCACCTTCAAGGACGCGCGGCGAGCTTCCAGGAAGCGCTCGGCCAGCGTGGACCACCTGGACGGAGACGTGTGGGTTCCTGCCATCCTCTCATAATTCCACCTTATTGATGGACAGTTGGTGGAGATGCCTTGGACATGCAACTCTTAGACTCTGCTTTGATTTCTTTTTTTTAAAAAAAATATTCCTTTTTGTATTTAAGTTTTTCTACAGACTGTAGAACTGAGGAAAGCTCAACTTTCTACTGGCTCCTTTTTCACTGTGAGTTGAATAAGAACATAAGAGACGCCACTTGTAGTGTTTAGTTTCTATGACCTCCTCCAAGGAATTAGGGTTTCACCCATGTAACTTTGCTACCACATTTGTGTGTCTAAAGTCTTCACCTTTCACTTCCTCTGTCAGTTCCAACACAAATTCCACATTTTTCGCTTCCCATCTGCGCGAATACTTTTGTCCAATAGCTTTTCTTCACTTCCATCATCGTTTCAAGCTCATTTTTGGAAATGCTCAAATACCCCTAAAATGTCCGTCATTTTCTTTTCTTTTAAAAGAAGGTAGAAAAATGTATCATCAAAATCATACAGTACTTATCTGAAAATGTAAAACAAATATCAGAATAAAAATATAGCACACCCTTGCCTCAAAAATGGTTTGTTCCACACAAAACGTCCCCCTCCAATCTCTCCCCCGACACAAAATATTACACGAGTTTCAGCCGTGGTGTAAGTAAACCACTCAATATCATCACCGCATGATCATTATCATTCCCTTTTTTTTTTTTTTGCTGCATTTAAATGTAATTTATTGTTCACGTTGTTGGGTAGGAGTTGGGATTTTTTGAGATGGGGGAATGTTTCATGTGGCCACTGTCCTGTTTTTTTTTGCACACCTTCACCCAATCTTATTTTCCATCATCACTTTCTTTCCTTCCTGTGTGTCCCAAAAAGGTGGACAAAACACCGTGTATCACTGTTCACTTGGTGTCCAAATCCTTTCGTAGAAGCTCCACATTTCCTTCACTCTTCATTTCCTTCACATCAGGAAGCTGTCCGAATACTATTCACAGATTGCTTATTATTTCGTTTTCATTATTCATCACTTTTCTTTTGATGGCGGCGCGGGCACCCGCAGCGGCTCCTCTTGTTGCATGTTGTCTTGAGAGGGAAGACATTTCATCTGTGCTGTATTTGACAATAAAGTTGTACTTGATGTCCTTGATAGCCCGATACCTTTGTCCGAGCTCCATATTTTCATCACGTTTCAATTCTTGTCGCCATCCAATTTTGTGCACATGAATATACAATGCGCCTGTATGAAAAGTACATTAATGGACCTCCCCCCTTCCGAGGAGCTTTGACAGCAACTTGTCATCCCAACAATGCTTTGAACACAGCAGCAGAGGTAAGAATAGTCACACACAGGAGCTCTTGTGGGCCTTGGCACACAAACGCGAGTAGGTTAGCATTTGGCGGCGGCGTTGGGGCGCTCAAGGGAGTTTCTCACGTGTGTTTTTGTGGGTCCTCGTGAAGCCATGGGGACGCTGTGCGATGTAATCTTCATCGGCTTCAGCCACAACGTGTCCTTCTTCGGTGAGTTCCATGAAGTCTCAAGCCAGGCATTTTCCACGCCGTGGTGTACCTAATGAAGTGTCCACATTTTGCGCTCATCTTTAGGGAAGGCGTGGTGGCTGCTGCTGGTGTTGGGTCGCGGCCTGGTGCCGTGGCCGGCTGCCCTCAGCCTGTTCGGAGACGAGCACGACCACTTTGTGTGCAACACCCTCCAGCCCGGCTGCTCCAACGTTTGCTTGGACGTCTTTGCCCCCGTCTCCCTTTTCCGCCTGTGGCTTTTCCAGCTCATCTTCCTCGGCTTCCCCCAAATTCTCTTCCTGACCTACGTTGCCCACAAAAGCAACGCTGCGCCCGAGTGGCGGACGCGGAGCTTCCGCCGTTTTTCCGTCGGCGCCATCGTCCTCCGTATCCTTGTGGAAGTAATGTTCGCCGCGGGCCAGTTCTTACTGTTCGGCGCGTCGTTCCCGAAGAGTGTGATGTGCTACGAGGCCCCCTGCAGCTCGGGGGTGGAATGCTACGTCTCCCGGCCCACCGAGAAAACGCTCATGCTACGCCTGATGTTGGCTCTGGCCTTCCTGTCGATTCTTCTCAGCCTGCTGGACCTGGCAGGTTCAGTGAATTCAGTCACGAGAAGGAAAAAGAGGATGAAGGCAAAGAGGATAAGCAAAGAGGAGCAAAGCAGCATTCACACGGCAACGGTACAAGCAGACGGGCTCCTGATACAGAGGACTAGTCCCAGTAGGAGCTCCAGGAGTGGACATGGACGCCTCCACGATAAAAAAGTGGCGCGGACCACACCTGGTGTCAATCGATCTCTTCAAGACAAGAGGGAGTGGGTCTAAAAAACACTTGGGGGCATTTGGGGATTCTGGTTTTTGCTTCACAATGTTCCTTTCCAAGCAAGATGATTCAGAAGTATTTAGGGAAATGGTTTTCTGAACTTCTCCTTTAACCCTTTCAGGGACAGCGGTTACTACAGTGGACAGCTTTTCGTGTTATCAGCTTACAGGGTTCATGAAACTCTTTTCACTGCCATTGATATTACCATCAACGTCCATTTTGACTGGGCTGGCAGAGGAGTCAAGCACCTGCTTCCGAACACCAGCTGACCTTGAGCAGGTTGTCGCCGGCGCTGCCAGGAACCGAGCAACACACTGACCTCAAATCTGAACTCTGGCCGTAACCCCAAACAACTTGCCAGGAAGAATTCACACCTATTTGCCACCTGTCAATCATCTCAGCATACCGGTGACATTGACAAAAGCAACATTAACGGTTGGGGGCAATTTACGTGTTTGGCTGTCCTCTTCCTGAGTGGAACTTTACAATCTAAGTATTATTCATATTAACCCTTTCATGCACCTTGTAACCTGATAACATGATAAGCTGTCCACTGTAGTAACCGCTGTCCCTGAAAGGGTTAAAGCAGGCATGTCAAATATGCGGCCCGCGGGCCGGAACCGCCCCCACCCCGAGGAGGTTCGATCAGGCCCGCAGGATAAATTAAAAGTGAAAAAAAAATGCATAAAAGACACGGAATGAATATTTGTAATAAGATGCAATTCGTTGATTATCCGCTAGGGGGCACACTTTTTTGTCCTTTGTAAAGTGTAGGCAGGGATTAAATTTAGATTTTACATGCACGTGTAAATGGTTGAAAAATTCTTATCTTTACAACTCTAATTTAATCTTAAAATGCGTTACTATATTTTTCAATACCAATTTTTAGTTTTGTGCCTTTGTCCAATCAGTGGGATCAGTTGCAATGCATATACGTGAATGATCAAAGTCAATTGCACATTTGTCTAAGGGAAATCTAAGGTGCTTCATGAAATGTTTTGTCAAAGATACATTCATTCAATTTCAACATTTTCCTACTGTTCTTGCGCTTCACTATACCAAAACAAAGGAAAGACGTGATATTTTGGTTATTTATAGCAGAGTATGGTATAATTTTAATGGTCTGGCCCACTTGACATCTACCGAGGCCGTATGCGGCCCATAATGTGAAATGAGTTTGACCCCTCTGAGTTAAAGTAACGCTGTACCTTCACTGAAAGCTAGCGCCAGTGGAGTTTTCATTGCTTTGTCACATGTGGATGCAGCCGAGCTGATGAATTACACATCAATTAGTGTCGCAGTGTAGCAAATAGGTGCTAACACTGCTAACACTCCTTAAATTTATGCTTTTGACACCGTAATCATAATCAGAAGCATTTTCCAAAATAGTCCAATCAAGAATGGTCTGGTTGTTTCGTTACATACTTGATGGGTAGGCAAATTTGATATGATGAACAAGGAAATTATTTTAGAAGCCTTGCAGTATATTTAACTCGGTTATGCAAACTCAGAATGTGACTGCAAATTTCTCACCTTGTCGTCCTTCTCCTTCGGTGGTATTTGGGGCAACCAAGGCGAGGAGAAACAAAACACCAGCAAAGTGTTGTCACTCAACCAAACAAACCGTGAAGGTAAACTGATGCCGAACCCAGACGCAAATAACACGCGCCGCATTTCAGAATCAAGTCACCTTGGCCACCATGCTACTTTGTGGACTACTATTTCTATTCCAACATGATAATTTATTCGTCTTGTCGCATCATTATGTACAGAATGTTTTCACATACACGTCACATATGGTTTCTTATTTTACCACCCATGATGGATCTCTCTTGATCACATCGTTCTCCGGGCCCAGGATGGAAACGCCGCACGTCTTGTTGCCGACACTCAGGTACCTGCAAAAAAGGCAAACGGGCACCATTGTCAGAATGCATAAAAATTATTGGGAGGATGATCTACTCGTATGATTCTCAATGGGTGATAATTAAATGTTCAAATTGTACATCATGTTACAGTGACTTGAACCTGACTTGAAATCCAGGATAGTTCGGTTGTATTTATATTTGAACCCTTTAGAGGGAAATGTCGATTCAATATAACAATACTCATCGTGCTACATTCCTTATTCTGTGTGAAAAATTAGTAATATTACTGCAGCTTCCTGAGGAGTTGACCGTCTCTGTGTATATCCGTGATCGCGCCCCAGGGTGGCCAAGAAGCGCACACCATAAGGAGAGCAGCACAATCTCCATTGAAGCAGAAAGGTGTGTCAAAACTGTGACGTTGTTCGCATTTTATTTAATAGTATCATCAGTGTATATGGAATTTATTTTATAAAGTACAATATTACAGATGGGAATTTTCTTTTGGGGTGGGGGGGCTGTAACTTGTTCATGGAAAGTTTGAGAAAAAGGGAGGTGACGTATCGAGCTCGAACCTCTCAGCCACGTCCAGCAGGTTTTCCCGAGTGACGTCAAAGAGTCGCTCGCGGTGCCGCTGCTTCATTTCGTCGGTGATTCCGCTCAGGAAGACAGACATTCCTGCATCAAAAACAAAAATACGTCAAGTACTCTACGTGCCTGTCTCAAGAGCCGGTCCTTACTGGTGCGCTTTCCCAATACGCCAGATGCGTCAAAATGGGCCGTCACGAGCGGCATTTGTTACCTTTGCTCGAGGGCGCCACAGGCGAGTCGACGGCAGAGAAAACGGAGAGCTTGGCTTCGTCGATGTCCTGCTGGGTGAACTTGGCCGACTTGACCCAGTTGACACCTTTGCTAAATGCGGAGAGCGTCTGGACCGAGTTTGGATCCCTTTTGACACACACGCAAAGAAAGCGAATTCATGCTAACTGCATCACTCAAATGTATTTTATTGAATGCGGATTTAGAGAGACATGCTTGTATTTTCTTTTCTAATATTGTTTTCTTCTTTAAAATGTTGGTATTTTAGTCCAAACAATTTTATTGCAATTTTTTGGACAAATATTTCTGTCTTGTTTTGTGTGATATTTCTGTATCTAAATAAATATTTGTAATTTTGTTAATACACTAATATTGTAGTTTTATCTCACATTATCTTCCAACATCAACTATTTTTTGGGGTATTTTTCTTGAACTACTGTTTGACTTATTTTTTTTAACCAAATATTCTCATTCAATTGAATTGACTGTCAGCATTCGAGCAAATCGAGCATTTTGGGCACCTGTAAGAGTAAAACGAGAACAGGCCGCCTCCACCCATTCTGGCTCCGCCACCGTAGGCCCCGCCCTTTTCTCGGATCTCCCCGTGAAGAAACTTGGCCGTCATCATCCTTCCCAACACGCAAAGACTGGCGACAGAAAAAGGAAGTGTTTTGAAACTCATTCCCCGCACATGTTCCGATCGTTGTGTCAACGGAGTAAATTAAAAAAAAAAAAAGAATCCATTCAACACAAAACCTGGCATAGTCTTCGTGGCTGTAGGGGACGGTGCGCACAGACTCGCCGACAAAATTGACAGGAAATGGCATCTGGATGAAAGTCTTCATGTGACAAGGCTGGAAATTTGGATGCTTGGAAAAAGAAAGTGAGGACAGTTAAGGATATGGAGGACAAAGTCATGTGACACGTTTGGGGATCCTAGTTGAGAAAATATCAACCAAAACACACTTTGAAAGAGGTTAGAAACTCAATTATTGCATGAAGGGGGGAAAAAGACCCTCAAATGGCTGCTTCAAATCAAAATGGCACACTTCCTGTTGCTTTTCAGGCATGGCTTCTTAACACTTTTTTGTAGGTTCACTCATGATAGAAGATGGCTACCAGATTTCATTTTTTGAAACGAAAGTGGCTCTGACTTCTGCTAATGGCTTCAATCAACCTGAAACGACCATTTCAAACCATGGTGTGTCTTTTCAGGCGTGGTTTCTTGGGACTTTTTTTGTTCGCTTTTTCATTTGGGACTTGCCTATCGAAATTCAAAAACTGGTGTTGGGGGCTGAATTTTCCCACAATTCCCATTTACAAAACGGGTGAGTCATCAAACTTCACTGCCAAAACGGCAAACTTTTTGAATATTTTAAAATGTGGCTCCTTGAGACATTTATTGTGGGTCGACTGAAAATAGACATGTCGAACAAATTTCATGTTGCTAAGCAACACTGGCTTATGGGGGCACATTCTTAAAAAGGTCTGAGGAGGATGGATTGATGGCATGAAGTAATTTTAAGCAAAGAGGAAAGAGACCTACAGCCACAAGTGTCCTGCTGGCTCCAGAGACGTTACGGACATCTAGCGGCCTCTAGTGGAAACACATGACAGCGCATCAACATGACGTGACGCTCTTATCACCTGTGAAAGTGGTCCGTCGCTCTCTTACCTCGACGACATTTGGCCGCACGGCTTTGAAGTGCTTCTTGTTGCCGGCCACGTCCTTCATGAAGCTCTCCAGGTGGGCCACCGATTTGGATGTCTGCTGAGGCGTGGCGTTGATGGCACACCTGTCGGAACAGCCAAAATTAGGTGGGATATTTTTTTTCCCCTGCCCAGGAGTGTGAATGTCGGAAGGTGAGGGGCACCTCATGTTCTTCGGGTTGAGGAGGTGCTTCTTGATCCTGGGGAGCGTACGGAGGACCGGGGTCAGGTCCGACATCTCCGCTATCCTCTTCATGAACTTCACCTGAGGATCACAACAACCGACGGAGCGAGGCAGTGAAATCAAGAGCAGAAACAAACATGGATGAAGGACATTCCTTCAAATGTCTCCAATTTCGGTACCTGGTCCATCCCATCAAATGTTTCGAGGAGTTCTCCGGCCGGAGTCAGGAGGTGTCCGGCCTGCGTCATGGCGTACACGTGTCCGGAGTCGGAGATCCCGTTGGCCAGCTCCTGCGCTGACATCATCACCAGCACGCGCAAGCGCTCCCGGTCATCAAAGCGGGGGCTGTTGAAGATGTCCCCCCACAGCTGGAACATATGGGGAAGGTTCCTCTCCAAGCAGGAGGAGGACAGGAGGACGCCCTGAAAGAGGGGATGAGGCTGCAACATCATGTGTGTTGTGTTATTTCGGACCAGGGCAGCCAAAGTGAAGCGAACCTGCTCGAACATGTCCATGTGGGTGCAGTCAGGGATGACTTGGGTGGACACGGACATGCCGCCAGTCCTCAACTCCATCTGTTGGGCCTGCTGACGATAGTCCATAGAGCCACTGCCCAACCTGAACACATCAAAAACAAAAACAAAAAAAAAAAAAAAAAACCAAGGAGGTTGAAGGGCTAATAAAAAACATGTCTGCACTTAAAATGTCAGAATTTTTTTCACAGATATAATTTACAATTGATCTGTATTAAAAGCAAATAATTAATTTGGGGGGATTATGTTATTTGTGGATTTTGTTGATTATCAAAAGGTACACAAATATAAGTACAGTCATACCTCGGTTTCCGACCATAATCCATTCCAGAAGGCTGTTCGAAAAGCGATTAGTTCAAAATCCGAAACTATTTTATTAGCCCATGATTAGGGGATAATACACTATGCAGAAATAACCAAAAAAAAAAAACTGTCAGAATTGCGTAAATCACAACGAACACGTCTGCTCACAATCAACGTTACACGAGGAAGCGTCATTTCCTCGTGCAAGGAAGCCGAGAGGAGTCAAGTGGCGTATTCGGGTTTGCTCAGTTTGGTCGAAAACCGGTTTCCGGTCGTAATCCGAGGCGTAAAAATCTCAAATTTTCTGGTCGAAATCCGATTTGGTCGATAACAGAGACGTTCAAAAACCAAGGTTTGACTGTACTCCCAAAATTAAGTTTTCTTAAAAGGTTAAAAAAAAGTACTGTATTATTATTTTTTAAAATCAACGATGATTTTTTTTTAAAATTGTACTCCCCCCCCAAGTTAGTTAATGTTCAAACATGCATACTGTCCCCCCCTCCCCCCACACACACAAACACCTGTACGTAAAATCAAAGGATGGGCGAGCCTGCCCAAGAGTGAGCATCAATGGGTGTGAAGTTGGACTGACTTGGTGATGACGCTGCAGAAGAGCGGCACATAAAGCTTCAGGTCCTCGGGCAGCGTGTTGAGGCTGCACATGGCCCGGAAGTACACTAAGCCGTTGGTGGGCTGCTCGCACAGCTGGAGCGGAACACCGTCTGTGCGTGAGAAGACCAAAAAAAAAAATAGCACAATAGTCACAACTCAAGATTGAATTGGGGGTATTTTTCAGGATAATCAAAGGGGGCGTATTTTGGAAAAATCCGAGCATTTCAGCCAATGAGAAACCCAAAGAAAGTCAATGTTGGCAAAAGACATGGAGGCAGGGAACGAGTGGATTTAGCCCCTCATATATCAAACCTGAAAATAAAGTAAACAAACAGGTCGATAGCACAGGGGTACAATAATATGTCAAATAAAATAACAACCCAGGTTTAGGAAGGCCTTAATGTGGTGTGGTACCTGCTTTGGTCATGTGTACAGGAGTGATGGGGATGGTGGGCGCGATGTCGGACACTTTGAGTGCGGGCAGACACGAAGCGTCCTGTGTTTTGCTTTGAGCGTCCAGCAGCTGAAGACCTGAACAAAGAGGACGCGGGTGCCACGTGAATGTCTAATAACTCAATGCACTTATCAAATCAAACAGATCTTTCCCACAGAAATAAATTCAAATGCCATTCGTTTCAAATTGCCCTGCAATCCTCCACGTTTTTGATTTGTGTTTGTCTTTACGGTCACGATCTGAAGTCGGCATGTGAGCATCGAGGAGTGAGTTGTGGTCTACAGCAGCGCCTTGCGAGTGTTTGTGCACTTGGATCCCTTTCAACCAAAGGCAGAAAATGCATCAGTGACAGCGGCTCCCCTTGCCGTCATGCCAGGGCATGACAGTATCTAAGAGGCTTCATTTATGATTTTATTTGGGAATTTCTCCATTGTGAGACAAATAAAGGTTTTCTTATCTGAATTTTTTTTTTTTTTTTTGTCAATTCACTAGAGCGGCGATGAATCTGAAGCTCACTCCAACTTAAATTTTGGTTTGCAATACAAAGGGAAAAAAAATAACATAAAACGACAAAAAGCGACGGATGGAAAACTGGGAAAATTAAAAAAATAAATAAAAAATCACAAGTCGAGGCACTTGGAAGCCAAGGTATGAAGGCCCTTTGTGGCCTTCAGAAATCCCATTTGTGAGTGATTGTCAGCACCTTTCTCGTAAATGTCCTTCTTGTCGCTGTCAGACAGAGCGCTGATCTTCTCCTGCAGGATGCGCTCTTCGGCGGAGGCCTGCTTGTCCAGGTAGGTGTCGTCGGGACTCATGGAGAGGGTGAGTCTGTGGGTGTTGTCCTGGATGAGAGAAAGACTTCAAATGAGGTGAAAGCACTTAGTTCTGTAATTAAGGCTGGATGATTAATTGACTTTATGCATTCATTCATTTATTGCTCAGGACACCCACAAAAACAAACAAAAAAAAAAAATCCCAGAAATGGGGAGGGGGGGGGGGAACTTACACTGTAAGCAAAGGAGAAATCCTGCTCAAAACTGGAAATCGCAATTAAAAATATTTTTCATTTCAGGCTTTGTCATCCAACCCGACGCATAATGGGCGGTGCCACCCTCACAAACCTTAAAGTAGTGTTGGACTTTGTCCTGGAGGAAACGCGGGTTCTCTCGCAGGGCCTGTCGAAACTTAAGGACGCTGTTGCTGATCTGCAGAAGCTCCACCGGGTCGCCGTCGTGGTTCCACGAAGATGCGATGTACTACGCAAACGGGCTCCGGGTCAACAAAAACAAACTCACCGGGCCTCTGAAACGTCTGCGTTGGCGTGTGCTCACCGAGGCCAAGGAGAGGCCAAAGTTGGTGGACTGGTGCTTCATCTGGATCTCGATCTTGTGCAGGAGCGCCTCGATCCTCTCATCCTCGAAACCGGTCCTAATGAAGAGCAGAAATATAAAAAATGAGATATCACGAATATGATGAGAGGATTATATATTGGTGCCAGAGTCAGAATGGCCTTCTGAGAGAAACCATCATGACATTGTGGCCCGCGATGAAAAAAGGGTGGAGAATAATGATCCATCCCCCATTCGGACTTACTCGATGATGTCATCGATGGTCCGGTGTATGATGTTCTTGACCTTCTCCGCGTCGTCCTCGGCCATCCCCTGCAGGCCGATGCTGAACGACGCCTCCTTGGTGCTGCCGTCGTATCTGCGGAACACAAAACACAACGCCGAAACGTCACTCCCAATTCCAACTTTCTTCTTCTTCCTCCCGCCCATCTCACCCGACCACCGAGGAGAAGTCCGTTCCGATTTTGGGTTCGATGAGAGCTTTGTAGAAGGGAGCGTTGGGACCGGATGTCATCAGAGAAGACAGCAGGCTGAGGGTGAAGGCTTCGAAGGTGTCGGTGATGCTACGGAGGAAAATTTTACAGGCTAAATTTCACATCTCAATTTCGGGTTTGATAATTCAACGCCACCAACACGACACACGTTTAAAAGAGCAAACTATGCTTTTCCATTGAAAGAGATTTTGGGTGACAAATTTGGGAACTTGGAAAAAAAACAAAAATAATCTAATGTGATCATCAGAGTCACTATGATAGCAAATAAATGCACCTTTTTCTTGGCTCTTTTTTTTCTGCTGACGAATGACTCCAAACGAACCGTTTGTATAAAACACATGACGCGACAGAAAAATGTGTTGTCTTACTCTCCCAGCAGGTAGCTGACACACAGCGTGTTCTGTCGCGTGGCGTCGGGAGCCATCGCGTCGGGACTGCAGGTGACGTGCTCTTCCCTCTGAACATTGGCAATCAATATCTTAAAACCTTGTGATTTTACATTTAGCATCCTCATGACTATTTATAGAGCTAACAGGGCTGGTCCAGTGCGGTTGAGACGGGACTTGAGTGTTGGGGTGGATGCGTTGAAACTTGGACAGCGCCTCCTGGTCAATCTGCTTCAGGTGTTGCTCCAGAGGAAGGTCTCCATACGTGAACAACCTGAGCGACATAGTGGAGGAAAGATGTAACGGACAAAGATTTGGAGACACAAATAGGAAGCGCACGCAGTGGATCAGGAGCAAATTGTACAACTTCCTCAACCCCTTTCACACATCGATTTAAAGACAGATTTTTCCCAGGTGGCTGTTCCGTATGCCAGGTATTGGAGAAAAGGTGGAAGTAAACCTGCCATTTTGCAAATTTCGAAAATTAATAATTTCCAAGTAGGATGAGAGATACCTGTGTGTCAGGGACTGTAGGTGCTTTACATACGAGTCTAAGATACTCATTTTGAACTTTGCACTCCAATCTTTGGTGCCATTAATACAGAACAGCCAGATGGACAAAAAAAAAGGTGGAAAATGCTGTTTTTTCTTTTTTAATAAAGCGTCACTCCATTTCACACAGTTTCTTTCAAATGCGAAACCAGCTGAGAAAATTTCACACAAGCCCCTTTAACGCAGGTGTCCACAAAACATGCCACGCGGCATTTACCTGCCTGTGCCTTTTACACACAGACAAATTGGAAAGCGCAGCATGATGCACCTTCATACAGTTCTGCAAAAGATTTGAGTCTTGGCAATAAGTCATGTGGCATCTGTGCCCTTTATGCACACACAAAAAAAAAAAAAAAAAAAAAAAAAAAAAAAAAAAAAAAAATTGTACGTATCACACTGAGACCCAGAACAAAATGTATCTGCCTTTCAAACACAACCCAAAAAACGCTGGCATATGGCTGAAACTGCGCACTTTCACACAACCACCTTGATAAGAACGGCAATAAGTGCTTTCAAGAAGAGTGAATATTGGTGATAAATTTAACAACCTCATCCCTGCTTTTTACTTGTGTGTGTTACCTGGCATTGCTGGGGTGGTAGTGCGTGGCGTGGAACTGCTTGAGCTGCTCCCAACTAAGGTTGGGAATGGCCAGCGGCTCTCCGCCGGACACCACCGAGTACGTGTGGTCAGGATAAAGTTTGTTCTGGAGGTGCTGAGCGTACAGACGCTCGTTGTCCGACTGCCAAGAAGCAAAAACGAACAACCCCAAGTTTCTACTCGGTTGGTTTCGATTTGACGTGAAGAAACAGGATTTGGACTCACAAAAGCCCCTTTCATCTCGTTGAAGACCACACCTTTGAAGACCAGAGGCGAGCTGGCGTCGGTGGGGTCTTCGTTTTCCAGCCTCCAGCCCTCCTGCCTGGAAAGTTCTCACTTGTGACGCCACAGGAGGGGATACAAAAAACAAATAAAAAAAAAACTTTACCAGAAATCCTGCTCCCGCAAGCACGGGAAGAACTGAGACCCAGAACAAAATGTATCTGCCTTTCAAACACAACCCAAAAAACGCTGGCATATGGCTGAAACTGCGCACTTTCACACAACCACCTTGATAAGAACGGCAATAAGTGCTTTCAAGAAGAGTGAATATTGGTGATAAATTTAACAACCTCATCCCTGCTTTTTACTTGTGTGTGTTACCTGGCATTGCTGGGGTGGTAGTGCGTGGCGTGGAACTGCTTGAGCTGCTCCCAACTAAGGTTGGGAATGGCCAGCGGCTCTCCGCCGGACACCACCGAGTACGTGTGGTCAGGATAAAGTTTGTTCTGGAGGTGCTGAGCGTACAGACGCTCGTTGTCCGACTGCCAAGAAGCAAAAACGAACAACCCCAAGTTTCTACTCGGTTGGTTTCGATTTGACGTGAAGAAACAGGATTTGGACTCACAAAAGCCCCTTTCATCTCGTTGAAGACCACACCTTTGAAGACCAGAGGCGAGCTGGCGTCGGTGGGGTCTTCGTTTTCCAGCCTCCAGCCCTCCTGCCTGGAAAGTTCTCACTTGTGACGCCACAGGAGGGGATACAAAAAACAAATAAAAAAAAAACTTTACCAGAAATCCTGCTCCCGCAAGCACGGGAAGAAGACGGCATCCAGGTAGACAGACAGAAGATTCTGGAAGTCTTTTGCATTCTGCGTGGAGAATGGATACATGGTGTAGTCGCTGGCTGTTGGCAAGGAGACAACAGTCACTTTAAATGTTGGGTTTATTAAACAGGGTGGGGGTCATTGCTTAGCCATATTTGTTCGAACTGTCAATGAGAAGCTGACACAAGTACATGATTAAAATGATGAGTAAAAATCTGCAGTCACTGAAATCGACTATCAGGGCTTCAATATGTACCTGTGAAGGCGTTCATGAAGGTGGATAGGGACCTGTTGAGCATTTTGAAGAACGGATCTCTGCACGGATACTTTTGGGACCCACACAGCACAGTGTGCTCCAGGATATGAGGGACCCCTGTGCTGTCCATAGGGGTGGTCCGGAACTGCACGCTGAAAAATGCAGAAAGACCAGCAAGGCATATTAGCGGAGCAACATCGAGTAGAGAACATGTGGTTGGTACTGTGGTTTTTTTAGCAACCTGAAGAGATTGTTTGGATCATCTCTGGCCGCGTGCAGGTACTGAGCTCCTGTTGTGTCGTGAGTCAACTTGATGGCAGTGAGGAACAAGTCAGGCACCGCAACAACCTCCAGGAAAAAGACAATGACATTTAATTTTGGTTTAGATACAGTATGACTTAAAAAGCAACATGTCATGTTAATCGATCAATTTAATCCATCTTTGTTTGAAATTACCGTTTTGCTCCTTCATGACTGAGTGATTGTACCAAAAAAAAAAAAAAAAAGATCCATTGTACCTCTTTTACTGTAAATCCATGCATTTGTTGCCCGGCTGTGTATTGAAGAGCCTTCTTTCCTGCTGCTGCAGTGCTCCACTGTCTCCATGAAAGATGCGGGCCCTTTGAACTAGGTTAAAGGGAAAAGTTAAAATAAACTTCAGTGTATTTTCAAATTAACAGTATGCAGAATATTAACCATTGATACAAATACTCCCTACAATACGCTGAACCTGATTATTAATAACAGTTCTCAAAACTATTCTATTATCTTCTGTGTTCAAGCTTGGTGCTGCTTTCTGAGAGTTGATTGGCTCAAGTATCAACTTTAGGGACATAGTGAAATTACAGTTTTCATCTCCAAGAACGTCAGTTAAGTGTTCAGACCCCCCACCCCACACACACATACCACTACTGATTGTATTTAGCAAAATGTCCTCAAATATCCACTTCAATTGTGTATCAAACTAGCGACCTTTATTTTTTAAACCTTGGCCACGGTGCCGCTAAACTAAAATAGTGTCACTGTCGCTGTCCATGGGTTATTTTGACTGCAGGTAGCGAATGCTAGCTATCTTACCGGACATGTCGAAGTTTCTCGAGCACCGCCTTCGTCTGGCGAAACATGGCGAGCTAAATTATGTTGCGCTCATCAACGACTGCGGAGTCCGCGTTGGGTTCCAACGTACACACTTGTCACGATATAATACGATTATGTCAGACAAGTTGCATCACAGAATCTTGTGTCCTCTCATGCCATAAGACTTCAGAAACGGCGCGGCCATGCTGGTATGAGTGACCAATATTTGAGTACAGATCTCAAAACTTATCTCGACGTAGGTATTTAAATCTTTTCGTTTGTCGCCTCTATCCAGTACTACTACAAATCTACGGTGCCGCTATTTGACGTTTGCGAATGACCCAACAATATCCCCGCTTGTGATTGGCTAATGATCAAGAATGGCAACACTTGATTGGACAAATCTCGCTTACGCCAATTTCATTCGACAGAGTTAATTAAAAAAAAATAAATTCAGGATATATACATATGTATATTTTTTTTCTCTGTGTTGAAGTTCCAATAAGCAAAAGTGCACTGATATACGGGTCGCTATCCTGTACGCCTTGAAATCGACGATACTACTATAAATGATATTAATAAGGTGTTCATAACCCCGGAGTACCCGGAGAAAACCTACACAGGCCCGTGGAGAACATGCAAACTCCAGACAGGAAGGCCGGAGCCGGGATCGAACCCACGACCTCTGCACCGGGCCGCCCGGGTGATACAAGCGTTAACTTAAAAAAAAACACACACACACAAAAAAAAAACTGTTTATTTAATGTAGTTTTACAGTATTTCCACCAGATGTCACTGTATAACCATTTTATTTCATCCTTCCTGAGTTCTTCCCCTGAATTATTTCTCATAGCTCACATTTTCACATGCACCGGATGGACAATTCCAGTTGCGCTCCTTTGCTTGAAAAATGAAGAAAACATTAATAACCGAATTACATTTAAGTGTTGTATATGCATCTTATGCAGATAAAATTGACCACTGAATGAGCCCACACGATCAGCTTTTCTACACATCATCAGGGACCACACAAAAACAGCACCCTGTACTATGTATTCCGCATATTCATTCAAATAGAATGTGTACTAATGTAGTCTTGGAATCCACCTTGGAGGAGGCCACAATATTCCCCCTCGTGGTACACATGTGTACTGTAGTTATTAATCATTTAGCACCAAGCTAATTGCCAAGCCGCTCTCCGAGATGATATTAGAGCCTAACATGCTCTGACTGCACACTCATTCCAAGCAAGTTCTCCGTCTAGATGGAGCCTCCAGTAACATCTTAGAGTGCTGACAAGAAGATCCTCTCTCTCTCTCTCTCTCTCTCTCTCTCTCTCTCTCTCTCTCTCTCTCTGCATTTCTTCCTTGTGTTCTCACTGACATCGAGTGGGAGAGTTCTTCCCGGCGGCGTGAATAGAAAGCGAGAGACTTCGACTCTTTGCTGCCTCCAGTCTGTTGGGTCATTATCAGCAAAAAGTCTGCATGGCGCGTTCACATAATGGGAGAAAAAAATTGAATTCTGGTTGGAAATGTCACTGTTTTTTTTTGGGGGGGGGGGTTACCTCAAACTGATGGCATCATTACAATACACTTAACATTACTTGCAGGTATAGTCAAGTCTGTCTAAATGACATTTGAATTTCTTTTAAAGGAGACATACTATGTAATTCATTTTTTTCCAGAAGGCAGTCTTAATAAAATGATTGTGGCACACATGGCCTGAGGGTCCAGAATGACTGACAACAGTTTTACAGCATATTTCTTGCTATGTTGAAACTAGCTCATTTTAGGGACATCTCTGTCTTGGCAACCTTGGCTCTCATATGAATGAGAACAAGTCGGATGGATATCATTGCTTGTTTCTACCAGCGGAAGCAGAATATTAAATCTGTACTAACGCTGCTTCTCTGCTTACGTTGCGGCTGTGACATGACGGCGCTTTGTCCAGCCTAGCTGATCAAGTGTAGACACTAAATTTGAGCCGGGTTTATATACGGTAATTTCACAGACTTGTGACATCACAGTGGGGCAAATTTCAGAAGGGCTCAGAAGGGTGGATGGCGGCCCCAAGTAATCCTTTGGAGTATACCTCACATCAGTGGCATGGTAGCCACCGGGAATTCTGATAAAAGGTCTGTATTTTCCAGAAGGGCCAGTCAATTTCCCAGCTGACCCTATCAAGGATTTTATATCTGCAGCGGTTCGCACTCCCGTCCGCAAATATTCGAATTTAGGTACCGCCCTGCCTCACATGCATATTTTGTATTAGTATTCTGTATAAATCTTTAAAATACGTATGAATAATAAAACACGGATTTTTGTCTACGATAAGAGGGACTAGTATATTGCGATACAGACATTGAAAAGTCAATTCCCCCTTGAATCAGTCTTTTATTTGGTGTAGTGTATGTAACAGCCTCAAGATGTATAGGCCATTTGGTGGGTCAAGCATTGTTGTGCTTTTGAGTGCTATTTCCTGCAGGTAAATCCACCGGATTTTATAAAGGTCTGCACTGTCCAGACGCAGGCATAAGCCATTCGTCAGTGTCGGACGGAAAACAAAAACCACAAAACCTTGCGTTTGTCTTTGCAGCTTTTTTTTTTTTTTTTTTTTTTTAAACAGCTTTTTTTACGGGGGGAATGACAGTTGACTGCAAGCTGACGTTTCCTCCCCCTCCCCCCGCATCCATCCTCACGACCGACACCACTGCGCACATATTTCATGCTGAGGTATTGTAGATGACAGCGGCCGACTTGGTGGAAAACAGTTCGGAAAACGCAGTTTCCAGAGGCTGGAGGCACTTAAAATGCCAGTTGAACAAAAGATTTTACGGTAAAATCAATGAGAACCGCAGAGAGGAATACGAGCAGTGCTAATGAGACGGGACACAGATTGGACAAGACAAGGAAAGGCAAATAGATGATTGGCTCGATAGACATAAATAGGAGAAGGGAACGGCCAATCAAAAGTCAGCTGGCAGATCACGATATATGCGTTATAACGCATATATATGCATATGCCACACGGTGTATGCACAAATCCGGCACAGTGGCTGACTGGTTAGCATGTCGGCCTCACAATGCAGAGGTGCAGGGTTCGATTCTGGTTCCGGGCTTCCTGTGTGGAGTTTGCATGTTCCCCTCGTGACTGCGTGGGTTTTCTCCGGGTACTCCGGTTTCCTCCCACATTCCAAAAACAGGCATGGCAGGTTAATGGAACACTCGAAATCAGGGGTGCCCAACCTTTTATGACCGAAAATCGACTTTTCAAGCAAACGGCCTCCCGCGATCGACCCGCCACCGCACGCGCACGCGCACACACACACACACACACACACACACACACACACACACACACACACACACACACACACACACACACACTAATGAGCAACAGCCATAACAGCCCCGAACATGAACGAAACAGAAATATAAAGTCGATACAAGATCTTGGGAGTTTGTAAAAAGGAATCAGTGCCTACCTTAGTCAAGACCTGACGCGGCGGCATGGGACGCACTTTGGCAGCGCCTTCAGTGTAACAACGTCCCTATTGTCGTTCACCTGTATCGTTTTAAATTTAAATCCTGGCACTTCAGGTTCCCATTCTTTGCCAGTGCCATCGGCGAATTGCAGGTGGAACAAACTTTGAATGAGGATAATTTGAAAAAACAAAAACCGAGTTGCAGGTCACGAGCCACACTAGGTTAAAGGTGACCTGCTTTGTTATATTATTTTATTTTTTAAAATACTTTTTTTGGTGAAAGTGAAACTGAGGGTGCAGTTTGCACTAACACAAAAATATAGAATATTAATAACACACACACAGACGTACATTTTTTTTTTTTAATCCATATCCCCCAAAACCCACGCGATCGACTTGGAACCAGTTCGCGGGCTACTGGTCGATCACGATCCACTGGGTGGGC